CGAGAGTGGATGAGGAACGGGAGCTGGGGTGTGAGGGGAGGACGATTCTATTTCTACCTCCATAATGAAAGCATTGGTACACTATTGTAATGTATTAGCCTAGCAAACTGAGGTGTGAAAACGTACATTCGGTACACCTTGTCAAAAAATTTTGTTCACAGCCGATGCAAGATTACGCTAAGTGAGGTGGCAAAAACACAGAGAGCTAAGCCTCAAATGACACATTATCTGATCCAGTGACAAAGCGTATTGCCTACTATCAACAGTTAAGCGAGAATTGACGTACCCGAAGTCTCCCCGGGCTGTGTCCATGGCCTCCTCGCTCTCCCCGACATAGGCTACGTTAATACATTTACACATATCGCACCAATATTGAACAATTTAACAAACGTGCTTTTGCTGGTTGCCACTGTGCCCCCCCCCCCTCCCCCCCGTTAAAAAAAAATCTGATGTTGTCGTGTCTTGCTCAAGGACACACCCCAGTGACCACCCATGTAAACCCCGTGTCACTGACACTTGCTTGACATAACTTTTGAATCTGAACACACAACTCACTTGAGCACTTCAACATTCTGTACACAATATCATTATATTTAATTGTTCGTAGCTTTGATTTCGAACTTGCCCCACATTGAGCTGGCAGACTGCAGGTGGCTTTAAGCTCGGGACGGCTTTATCGGAATCCAAACTACATTCTTATTACACCAAAAAAATGGGAAAGGCGTCTCGCTGTCAGCTCGCGATTTCTTGTCATCTCCATTTTTTTAAACAGTGAAAATGTGACGTCGCCCGACTGGATTTTAGTGCGCAGACACATTGGCCGCAGCTGCAGCGATGCACTTTAAAGTTACTCGCCGCGTCTGTTCCGACTTCTTTTCTAGCAATCACAGTGGCTTCGTTTTTCGGTTCAGTCTTTTGGTAGGATTTTCCAAATGTGGCGTATACTCCTGCGCCAAATGGATGAACAGCCAGAGTCGGCAACAGATGCAGTCAAGGCCATCACAGTGCTCCACTATTTCATTATCGTGCAAGAACCTGGAAGATCGGTGCTACGGCACATTGAGGATGACGTGGTTGAGCCACGAGCAGGCCCACCAACGTTCGACAGACTAGAATTAGTTATAAGGAGCAGAGCTATCAAAAGTGGAAAGGAAGTAAGAAATGCTTTCATGGGATATTTCTCGTCACCGCACGGTGCATTGCCATAGCAAAACAGCAAATGCTATATAACGTCTGATCAGTCCACACTCTCATTTAAAAAGGGTTATCATTGCATCTCTTTTAATAAGCTAAAGTGGGCCTATAGTTTGAAAAAAAGTATGCACGTTGTACAGTGTAGCCTACAAACAGACAGACAGACAGAGAGAGAGAGACAGACAGACAGACAGACACAAAGAAGTATAAATAAATAAAGTTCTTTCCATTGCATCCAACTTCGCTGGCTACTTTATTCGACCGATATCATGGACCTGTTGCTGTAGAATCTAGTTTTGATCGGCTTTGATCATAAAGACATCTTTTTTCAACTGCGTGTATTAATGCCTCCGACTCCATTGTAGTCAAAATGCAACAATTCACTATGACTACACCCAACACGTACTACACAATCACGCCACAACAGTAGACGCTCAAAATTTATTTCAGCAGCAAGTACACACGCTGAACTTTTTCTGCTCTGTCCAGCGCTGCGTCTGCTCCGCGCCCACTGTAGCGCCGTGCATTCAATCCTAGCCTACGTTAGTAAAATTTGGCGATGCAACTTTTTCGGAGAAAGACGTCGCAACCGAAACAGAAGCGTCGGAGAATCATGCACTGTGTTTTAGGCCTAAAAGTTCGTTGAAACTCTTTTGTTTCGTGCGATAGTATTGTTGGAAATTTCACTATCTTCCAACAACGGTGGAAACAAATGATGAAATTCACCTGGTGTATCACGCTCTCTTTCGTTGGAATGCACTGAAAATCTTCTTGTCCTGTTTTTTTTTTCCTTTTTATGTCTGCGTCTCAAAAGCAACAACAACAACAATTTCCTTCTTCTACCACACGCCATATTTGCAAGTCGGCGGTGTCTGACCGCCAAACTCCGGCCCACAGCGTCAGCACTCACGCTTCATCACAAATTACGTACGTTAACGTAGCGACTAGCTTGTGTCCACAGCGTCCTCACACGTACGTCAATTATTTTTTGCGCACCAGACCTAGATCTAGAGAAATGGCGTTAACAAGGAAGAAGAATTTTTTTTATGGTGGTGGTTGAAGAGGAGGTATATGCAAGAAGGTTCCACTGATTCTGGGAACATCCCATATATGTGCAAAGAACGAGGCAAAACAGGCGATTTTTGCACCAAATTCTTGATGATAACGAAACACGCTTAGCATATTTTCGCATGACGAAGGCAAGCTTTCAAGGCCTTTTTGGAATTATGTGGACTACTTATTCAAAAACAGAATACGAACTTGAAGGCCGTTCCACCAATTGAAAGGCTGACAGTTACACTGAAGTAAGATATTGCTGCTGCTGTTGCTTATTCTTCTTCTGTTGTTGTTGTTGTTGTTGTTCTTTTTTTCCCCTGTTGTCATTGTAGTTTATTATGACCTACGTAAATGGTCTCTACCGTATCTTTCATTTAAGTAAGAGCCCATGCCTCCCAAAGAGCGTGTTCGTTTCAGGCACATTTGTTTACTTTGAAAAATGGGAGCAGAAATATACAGATAACAAAACAACTATTGAAATTCAGAAAAACGAATACAATCATTTACAATTATGTAAACTTTATTGACTATTAAATCAACATGTCAAACGAAGAAACAAAACAACCCCCCCCCCCTTAAAAAAAAAGAAAATTAAAAAAAAAATTCAGTTTGGAGATTGATAATACTGAGATCAAAGTCAAGTGGCATTAATTTAATTTTAAAGGTAAAAGTTGGCAAACAAAAGATAATCAACGAAATCAGTTTCGGTGAAGCCACAGCACGTACGGAAAATGTTTGACATGCTAGACGTCATACGTTTTTCACGTAAGCGTGAGGAAGCGTGTCGTCCGCAGTCGGCCCAGGTAATATAGAAATAAAAGGCTGAACGCTGCGTATACGTACATGTACTCACAAAGTGCGTATGGAAGCGTTCAACCTTTTATTTCTATATTACCTAGGTCCACTGCGGACCGACACGCTTCCTCACGCTTACGTGAAAAACGTAAGACGTCTAGCATGTCCAAACATTTTCCGTACGTACAGTACGTTTTGGTTACCTTTTAGAAGAAAGTTGGTTATCTTTTGTTTTTGCACACTTTTACCTTTAAAATTAAATTAATGCCATTTGACTTTGATCTCAGTATTCTCAGTCTCCAAACTTTGATTTGTTTCGTTTGACATGTTGATTTAAGAATAGTCAATAAAGTTTACATCATTGTTCATTATTGAATTTGTTATTCTGAATTTCAATAGAGTCGTTTTGTTAAATGTTTATTTCTGCTTCCATTTTTCAAAGAAAATAAAACGTTCCTGAAAAGAACACGCTCTTTGGGAGGCACAGAGTTAGCTTTTACTTAAATGACGGATAGGGTAGACCATTTACTTAGGTCATACTACAATGACAACAGCGACAAATAACGGAGAAGGAGAAGGAGAAGGAGAAGAAAAAGAAGCAGCAAGCAGCAGCAAGCAGCAAGCAGCAGCAAGCAGCAATCAGCAGCAAGCAGCAGCAACAGCAAGCAGCAGCAGCAGCAACAACATCTTACATCAGTGTAACTGTCAGCCTTTCAATTGGTGGAATGGCCAGCTTCCTCCAGTTCGTATTCTGTTTTTGAATATGTAGTCCACATAATTCCAAAAGGCTTTGAAAGCTTGCCTTCGTCATGCGAAAATATGCTAAGCATGTTTCGTTATCATCAAGATTAATTTGGTGCAACATTCTAAATTCTCCTGTTTTGCCTCGTTCTTTGCTTATGGGATGTTCCCAGAATCGGCGGTGACCTTGCATATACCTGCTCTTCAACCATCACCATAAAAAAATTATTCTTCCTTGTTAACGCCATTTCTCTAAATCTAAATCTACGTCTGGTGCGCAAAAAAAGAAAAGAAGGAAGGAGAAGAGGAAGATACATGTACACCAAAGTCGGTGTCGCATCCTGATCCAGAGGGTTGAGGTCCGTGTTCGACACCTCGTGTATGAAGGGGTTGCACCTCCTGCAGACGAAGCGGTGGGTCTATTTATACCCCCCCCCCCCCCCCCCCGGCCCACTGGGGGTGGTTTGTATGTGTGTGTGTGTGTGTGTGTGTGTGTGTGTGTGTGTGTGTGTGTGTGTGTGTGTGTGTGTGTGTGTATACGTGTGTGTGTGTGTGTGTGTGTATACGTGTGTGTGTGTGTGTGTGTGTGTGTGTGTGTGTACGTGTGTGTGTGTGTGTGTGTGTGTGTGTGTGTGTGTGTGTGTGTTTGTGTGTGTGTGTGTGTGTGCGACATGTGAGAGCAGCAATGTGTAAGTGTCTGAGTGTGACTATGACTATGAGTGAGTATTTAGGTGTGTGAGAAAGTGTGGGTGAGGATGTAGGTATTAATATTGCGTAGCCTATGGGTGAACTCTAATTGTTATGTCATGTTATGTGTATTATGTATCAGTCTGCTTTTGAATTGCGATCGGGCCAACAGGTAGCTTTCTGATTAAAAATGATTCTGATACTACTACTACTACTACTACTGCTGCTGCTGCTGCTGCTGCTGCTGCTGCTGCTGCTGCTGCTGCTGCTGCTGCTGCTACTACTACTACTAAATTTAATAATAATAATATTAATAATAATAATAATAATAATAATAATAATAATAATAATCATAATAGTCATAATAATAATAAAATTAATAATAATAATAAAATTAATAATGATAATAAAATTAATAGTAATAACAATAATGATAATAATAATAATAATAAAAATCGATCCGAAATCACTTGTTCGAAATAGCCTAGATCTGATCTACCACTTCCGGTTTCGTACACTTCCGTAAACTTACATACAACATGGCGGCTACGAAGGAGGACCGCATGCGGTTGAAGCAAGTAAAGGAAGCTATTAGTAGTGGAAATTGCGATACAAAAGGTATGATAAATCTTATTCATAATGCACCTTCATATAGTATGAACATATATGTATTTAAAAATCACGAGTAAAGTCTATGCATGATGGGCTTTGAAATGCGTCAACTTCAACTGTCAACACGTTGCTCGCCAAGTTTCGTTTTCTGTTTCCATCTCATCAGCTGTCAACCGGTAAACACGAGAACACGTTGCCTCTATTTAACTCTCTGACTACTGGACCCTTTTGCTGGATAATCTGGTTTTGGTCCCAACGATAACATATAGCCAAGGCCTATGGAGTATGGATTTAAAAAGGGAGTGTATACAGACCTGGTAACCTGGAACAAAGTCACAAAGTATACAGACCCGCTAGGGGAACTCTTTTGTGATTTCGGAAAGTTTCAGCGCCCTCTTGGCTCATGGTAGACCTAGATCTAGGTTCTTCTAGATCTATGGCAGAGGTCTAGATCTAGACAGACAGACATAAATCGGCGCTTTTTCGGTAGTTCCCACCCCGCATTTGTTATTCGCCGGTTTTGGCCCCAAGAGTAGGGGGGTTTCAGGGATAAAAACAAGGTGGGGGGTTTCAGGGGGGCATGCCCCCCTGAATTTTACCACAATTTAATGTTTTGCAGTTGTTAGGTTTGACATCTTAGCTTGCCGCGAATCAAACGTATAGATCTAGATGTAGGTCAGGCTCTATCAAATAAGGGGGGTGGGAACTACCGAAAAAGTGCCCATAAATCATTGATCAAGTTTCGAGGCTAGCTAGATATCTAGCCTAGATCTAAATCTAGAGTAAAATTACGGGTTCGGTCAAAATTAGGACGAAAACAGGCACGTCGACTTTAAAGCTTTATATCTCCTATCTGCCTTGCCCTAGAGACAAACCGAAACCAGCTACAGGAAGCCCTGTGATTGGATGACCCCAGGAAAGACCTGTTTCAGCTTGTTCTCATATTTGAGGCCCTTACTGGGTGCAAAAGTAACGCCCGATTAATTTACGTGTTCAGTCACATTTTTTTTTTTCTCATGGATTCAGGCTGTATTTTGAGGTATTTTTTTACTTTCCCTCCCGTCTCACACTCAGCTACCAGTTGTCTATTTTCTACTAAATATTGATGCGCTGAACACGAATATCAACTTCATTTCCGTCGCAAATTAATAGTTTTTTTTTTAAATATTTGATTGTTTTTAATCGAGATAGACATGCTTAGGACCAATCGGGGGGTTCCAGGGGGGCCTGCCCCACTGCGTGTAAAAGAAAATCTGGGGGGTTACAGGGCCAGGGGGGCATGCCCCCCTGTTTTTACATATAATTTGATATTTTACAGTTAGATTTGAAATTGTCTTGAAAATAATTGATAAGCGACAGTTTTAGTGGCTTTATGTGTGATCTGCAGCAAATAGTACAGCAGTTTGACCCCTGAAACTGCATCTGTGTGCGGGAGTGAAAGTAAAAATTTACCCATCCTGACATTCTGTCATTTTCAATTATTATCACATTTGTTTCTTTGCAAGCTTAATAACATAATTTTTAATGTTTGTTATCAACACTTGGACACAATGATAGTTTGTCTAAAGTGATTTTCACCATTTATAGCTATTTTTAATGAGTATGTATCTGACCCACTTTACTACGTGGTATTTGACTCTACTACTACACTGGCATCTGGCTCACTCAACTACACTGGTATCTGACTCTGCTACACTGATATCCGACTGTATTACACACTGGTATCTGACTCTACTACACTGGTGTCTGACTGAGCTAATATGCTGTATCTGACTCAACTATTATTTAAATTATGCACAAATTCTTTATTCTTTGTTATATAACCATTGGCTCTATATTATCTTATGTGCCCGAAGGATGAGAAACTACGGATTTTATGTTACAATCCGGGCACCCCCCCCCCTTTGGGCAAAAACGGCGAGACTGAACTGCAATTCTCTTTCATCCTTCACGGCTGTTCAGTTCTACTATCCTTGCGGAGCACTTAGTTTAACCCGTCCGCTGACCTCCCGGGGTAATAAATCCTACCTGACAGTCGGGCCATGCCTTCCTTCTTGTGCGGTAGCGCTGTTAGCCGATTTCGGTTAGAAAGTCTGTAATTTTCACTTGATTTAGACCCCTGTAAATGTCCTCTCTTATCTATCACTATGGGTGTGTGAGGTATCAAATAAAAGCTCAGACTTCTCAATAACCCACATCCTTTAGTTCATTTCTAGATCTGAGTGTGTACACACACTACCTCTGTATTTAACCCTACCTTGTGGCACACGTATTTCCCGGATTGCTACAAAGATCAGGATTTTTTTTCCATTCGTGAAACGCAGATTGTCATCATTTTTTTATCTGCCGTATCAAGAGTCAGTGAGGTATTTATTTGTGAAAAAATTGTTTAGATTCACTGGAAAACTTTAGCAGGACGGCGAGTTTTGTTACTTCACCCTGTGATATTTTCCCGACCGCAGCGCTCCCCCGCGTTGTATTCACGCGAAGTCCCGCTTTCACTTTCGCGGATTCTTTATCGATAAGTTTTAAGAGAGTCTGCTATCAGAGTGAAAATAGAACACACGCGGGAATTGCACCTTGAGAGTTTGAAAAACTGTAGAACATGCAGGGCCAGAAGTGAAAAGGCTAAGAAGGCAAATCAGAGTAGATATTTTTGTGCAAACTTTAAAAATGATTTACTCGTGTTTTAGCGCGTGAACGTGGACACGGATAGTGCAGACACACATCCCTTTGAATTGTGCAACAAATGTGCACAGCGCATATACCGTTTAAGGAAGCAAGTCAGAGAAGCAACCCTATCTGCTGCACAAAAAAGTATAGAAGAAAGTTTGCACATTTGGACACCTTTCGATCAAAATAAGACAGTAGATGCTTGCCCTGTGTGTTCCCTTTGCACACTTCAAAATAAAGGATGTATTAGAAAGGAAAATCAAACACCGTCTTGCTCAGAAGACCCACGAGAGCCTCCATCTGTTGAAACACCGACCCATGTAATTGCGGCAGACCAACTATTACATGAAAGTACTCAACAGACATCCATAGTAGATCAATCATCACTAGAAGTAGCACAAGTGAACTCCCCACACAGAGATCTAGATCTAAGCCTTGCAGCACCAGCCGCGACTTCAACACCATCTCCTTTCGCGCAGTTTAAAGACACATCACTTGAAGAAAAGAGCAATGCATAATTTCAATCGAGCAATGACCCTCTCTATTTCTCTGCCTTTCTCTCTCTCTCTCCTCTGTGTATCGCTTGCCTTCTCTTTTTCTTTGTTTGTCTCTTGTTTTTCTCTCTCCCCACCTATTTCCCACTCTATCTTTCTCTCGTTCCCTCCTGCCAACTGGACTTCTAGCACCTCTCTCTCTCTCTCTCACGGGCTTGAGCCCCAACCCCCTCCCCACCCTTCGCCCCCATCTCTATCCCAAAGTAAATGAAAGTTTCTCCATCAAATGAAATTAGCAGTTGGTATGTCTGTGTGGGTGTGTAAGGTGTGAATGGGGGGGGCGTGGAGGGATTTTTTTTTTTAGCTAAGGATTTTAGTAGTTTTTGCTGGTTACTAAATGCAAAATAGGTTACTGCCACGTTCGATCAGTCTTGTTTTCTCGCAGTACCTTTTAAAGGTATTTTCAAATGAAGTATGGTCCGGGAACGTTGCCCCAACCACAACTGAAGTATCTGAATATTCAGACATTTAAAAATCTCTTTCTCTAAAAATTGAATTCGATGCAAAAAATACTTCTTCCCGGTCCTCGCAGAATGGCAGAAGGGAGATTCGGAGAAAGATAACGCAGAACTCTCGCAAATAACCAAAAAATCTAGAGAATGGAAACAGTTCGGAGAAATAGAGTTCAAGTTTATTTTCCCGAACGTTTAAAGATGTAAAAACAGAATACATTTTTTAAAAGTGATTTAAATCACTGAGTTTTATTTTTAAAATCAAGTTGATATAAATTTTTTTTTTTAATCAACTGATTTAAATCGACCTGTATAGTTTGAATATAATATTGTATATGTTAAATGGTATCCTTTGGCTTCCAAGCCACTTTGTCTTGAGGCAAAAATATGGTCTGTCAAAACGATAAATAATCTTTTGCCAATTTTCCTGTCAAAGCAAGTCTAAACTTGGTTTAAATGGCACTCCCAACTTTTTAGAATTTGCCTTGTTTCTCACACAGAGTTGAAAAAGCTCAAGAAACTGCGTCGGGAATTGAAGGCGAAAATAGCTGCGTCTCGAGCTCTGAATGACAAAGCAGGTGAGTGATTATTCTGTATCTATCTGGGCACACTGCCGTAAGCTGAAAAAACAATATTTTTTTTTGCTGCACGGCAGTTTTATTTGGAATAAAAGATTTTCTCTTAGCCTAACCATTGGAACATAGAGTCGTTTGGAATTTTGAATTCTCATTTATTTAAAAACTAGTCACAGTTTCACTTTGATTTTTTTCACACAAGTAGGGTAACTGATCAGACTTTCGATTATTTATCAAATAAAAAATGAAAGAGAAAAAAAAGACTTTTTATCCGCTTACAGCAGTACAGAAGTCTCTACTCTTGGGGCCTAGTGATCAGGCTCAGGGTGCATTGAGAGGCATATTTCAAGGCGCTCCTTTCATTTCTTACTGGTTTGCTTCCTTGTTTACCAAATGCAGATGACAAATATGCTTTGCCTTTGTGAAAGATGACCTCACATTTTAAGTTATGGTGTCGTATCACTTTTCTAGCTACGTCTATTGGTGGCATTAATTGTTTGAAATTGGTTGAGGGGAAAGTGTGGGTTTTCTTCTTTTCTTCATTCCTTCCGTTCCCTACACTACACATGCTCATAAAAGTAATTCTGTTGACTATTCTAACATTTCAATTCATTTACTGGTCCGGTTTTGAAGAAACCTTAAGGGAAGACCCGGGTCGGCGATCCAAGGCAATATCGATACAATTTTTCAAACTATCCAACTTCTGTTTTTTGCTGAACAACATCCTTTGACATCTGTTCTATCGAGTCAAAATGAAGAAACTGTTGAAAAAACACCCTAAATGACCTAAAAGGGCATTTGAAAAGTGCAAATTGCTCTTAAAAATCCTTTTAAAAATCCCTGTTTTTTCTGTTTTTCTCAAAATCTACTTTTTGACATATGTGACCTCCTGGGTGCAAGGAGTTTTCAAAAACTACAGAAGGTAGAAGCTTCAAATTTGGTGTACATGTGTTTTAAGATCTATTCTGGGGATCTATGAAAGGGAATTAGGAAATGTTGGTAACTTGAGAAAATATTCAATTTTTTTGTATTATGTACCCCAAAATTTCGTCAACTGACTCTAGGGGGTCCAATGACTTTGGGCTCACTTTTTTAGTTTTAAAGATAGGTCAAAATCCTTCCATGGATCCCCAGTTCATATAGGTTTGTACTTGTGTGCCAAATTTCAGGCTGATAATTCAATATTTACTATGAAATTCTTCTGCACTGAGAAACTGGTTTGAAAATCCAAGATGGCCGCCACAGAGACCCATTTTTCAGAAAAATTCAACAAATAAATTCACCCCTAGTACATCCTATTTACCTATGAACTTCTTGCACAATTACATGAAATTGAGTAAAAGTCATTCGTTTAGAAAATTTTTCCGGGAGTGTACGTCTTCCCTTAAAGTCAAAGTATACACAGCATATAGTACAGCAGGACGCTTAAAAAAGTTAATTGCCAGAAATTCAAACTGGATCCAGAGGCACATTTGTATTTTTAGGTAGGTTCCTAGGCATGCAGATGAAAGAGAAACAGATTCTGTTACACAATAAAAGCAGGCTCTTGGACTCACTGGAATCCTGGTGTGGTGCTAGATCAAGAAATGTCAATGAAATACCATGTATCCAATCTTTGTAAAAATCTATATCTCCAGCTGAAGAAAATAGGGAGCATTAGAAAATATCTATCTGTTGGTGTCACCAAAACTTTAATAACATCACTTATATTGTCAAGGATTGATTATTGCAATTCCTTACTGGCTGGTGTACCTGATGAACAGTTACAACAACTACAAACAGTACAAAATATTGCTGCCAAAATAATTACTAAAAAACTAAAGCATGATCATGTGACTCCTATTTTAAAAGCATTACACTGGCTCCCAGTGAAAGAGCATATCATATATAAAATCTGTTATAACTTGCTATAAGTGCTTAAATGATTTTTCACCGGACTATCTAAAACAGCTTTTAACACCCTATATGCCTCCTAGAACGCTCAGATCATCAAGTGACAAAACAAACCTTGTTAAGCCTAAAATAAATTACAAATCATATGGCCAACGCTCTTTTTCATATTTTGCCCCACTTGTTTCCAAAAACTATCAGAGAAGCAGAAAATCTAGAAATTTTTAAGAAGAAACTAAAATCATTTCTATTTTCATCATATTTCGATTAGACAGAATGCATCCAAGCTGTAGATCGTTGTGAGTTTGTATGTGCATATGTACGTATGTGAGTATGTGTGTGTGTGTGGTGCGTGCGTGAGTGAATATGTGTTTGCATGAGTATGTAACACTATGTACCTTTAAAATTGATTTGTAAATCCATTATATGTATCATGTTGAGCGCATAGAGCATTGCATAAGTGGATATGCGCTATATAAGTGCAACCCATTATTATTATTATCCTGCTGGGCCTGTTCTTAGGTGGAGGCAAATATATGATAATATAGGTGCCTTTGCTAATTTAATTATAATTAATATCACAGACCTGTAGAGTAATGTTTTCCATCTGTGTGTTACGTATTATAACCTTGTATTAAAATAATGTCATGTGTAAAAGATTTGACAATAGCACTAGAGCATTGCTTTCTCTTTACAGCCACCATTGTGGAATCTGAAGATGCTGAAGTAAAAGGCACTGGTTCTGACGATGAAGACGATGATGGGAATGTGGATGAAAGTATGGAGAATGGAGACTCCCAGGAGAACAGTGAGGAAGGCTCTGGAAATGAGGAAAATGCTCAGACTGGTGAGTTTCTTCAGGAAATTAGATCACTGTAGGTGTTTATGATCATTGTTACATTCATTTATTATTCCATTTCTTTTTTTTTGGAAATATTTTTTTATACTGTATTCTGTGAAGTCCGTTAAAACCGAAGAAGTTAAATCTGAAAGAATCTGAAAACAGCAGTAAACCAAAAGGAAATTAAATCCCATACCCCCCCCCCCCCCCCCCCCCTCATATAAGAGCAAACTCTATAAATCAAAAACCCATCTAAAGCAAAGAAAATCTGGTGGGCCAACATTGTAATAATTCAGTTTAAGTGGAATATACTGGCTCCACTACAGTAGTATATTTTGACTGATTGTGTTTTTATTATTCTTTTTTGTAGATGCTGATGGTGAGGGATCAACATTTAACTCAACCGAGTTTTCTTCGCTGAAGGATCGTGTTTGTGAGCTGACTCTTAATGGAATTGAAGACATGGGTTTTACACACATGACAGAAATTCAACACAAGTCCATACCTTATCTTCTGGAAGGGAGGTAATTATACCGTAACTTTTTCATGTCATTGATTTCTTTTTGTATTGTTGTGCGGCTGTAAGATCATTGCTTGGTGCATAAAGTTGCTGCTGTGAGTAGCATGGGGGGGGGGGGGGGGGGGCGGCTCTCTCTTCTGATAAAGAAGTTTGCAATATTATTGCCTTTTCTGAGAAGGAAATATAATAATAATAATAGATAGCATTTGTATAGCGCATATCCCGGCTCAGCAGCAGGCTCTATGCGCTTTACACTATATAGTGTTCTGTATTATATTTCTCTCAACCCTAGTGTAATTCTAAGGTAGCAATATAGCTGGTCTGATCAGAATTGGAAGAGTAAAGTTGGTAGGCTACCTTTTCAGTTTCTTAAGATGTATTATAAATGGTTATATTCTCAGACCTGTCAGGCTTTCTGATGAAATTGGTGCCTTCTGGTTTTTTTGTGGGAGTTTTCGGGCCCGTTGAAAAACTCTGATCAGGTGTACACCTTTTTTCCCCCTTTGTATTTCTTTTCCATCAGTCATAGCAATTTATTGTAAATGACGTAGCAAACACATTTTAATTTGTGTGGATTCGCGATACACGTTTATGTTAAGATTGGTTTCTTACAATATAAACCACTGTGGTTGTGGAAAATCAAATTTAATGGAGGATTTTGAGGGAAACTCCTATTTCTGATCATGGAGTAGTTTCAGATTTGTATTCTGATCAAAGTACCATGTGTTGTTTATTTAACCCTCATCCTACGGGAGCTGGGTTTATGTCGCCCGATAAGCCTATTTCGGCACCCCGCCTACGTTCTGGTCCCGAATCAGTATAGCCCCTGGCTCAGCGCACGCGCATCCTCTTACGTGTCATTCGGGTCCCGAGTCGGATCCCCATTCACGCAGGTCAAGCGTGTGTGCGTCAGTCTGCTTGAGTTTGTGTGCGTTTGTGGCCTTCTTCAAGAACCGCCTGCGTTGGTTCGTAATCGAGGTATACGTCTCATTCAAAACATGCCAAGTTGGTAGCTCTAGATGTTCGTCCAATGAAATTATAGAAGAAATTGGTCCACTTAGACATGAGTAGCTCGAAAGGATAGTCAGGAAAAAAGACTTCCATTTTTCTATACAAAATATTTCAAATGAGCTTGATTCTGTATGAAATTATACTACCTGATAAAAAATAAGCTTGTTTGATAGTTTTGAATACCATTATGCTGGTACAAAGAACAATTTGAGTGTAAAACATTCGGAAATTGATCTAAATTATCCCCTTTGGAACCTCAGATCATTCATTACAACAAGAGCGTCCAGAAAGGTTATTCGAATGGGCGTAACTACTCTTAATGTCTTATCAGCTTGTGAGAGGGGTTTATTCATGTGTTTGTAACACTTTATAATAGAAAGCTATGAAAGATAGAGCGTTATTTTCATCATCGGTTAACACACTCCCGCGGTATTTATAGCGAAAACACACGTTTCCCGGCGCGCGCGCTGTACACCAACAGTACACACTGAGTGACCCCGTGGCCTGCCCGGCACGTACGACGTAATCGGTTGCTGATAAGATATGCATCTGGGCACAGACGCAGGATAAGAGTTAATACGTAGCAATGTTTTTGCTCTGACTTATCTTTGTAGTATGTGGGGCTATTTTGAGCTTACTTTACCACTTCTCATACAGAGATCTCATGGGTGCTGCAAAGACTGGTAGTGGGAAAACGCTTGCGTTCCTCATCCCTGCTGTGGAGTTGATTTACAAGTTACGCTTCATGCCCAGGAACGGCACTGGTATCATCATCATCTCTCCGACACGAGAACTTTCCATGCAGGTAGGCACTGCTGGCTGTTGTGACATCTGTCTTTCATTTGTGATCCTCCATTTGCTATGAAATCATGTCTGAAATCTATTTTTGATAAGCAGCAAATAAACTTTCTTGACCTTCTGTGTTTTTTCACAGCGATTGTGTTGCAGAAGCTGGGAAAGGCACACTGTCAGTTTCTTCTAGTTTGGGATCAGCGTAGTTTTATCTTATTGTCCAGACGTAGACTTGTTTTTTTATACAGGCTGAAATGAGTGCAATAGTGAAAGACTTCTTTGAGCCCTGGTTTTAAAAAGTTTGTGGCATTTCCGGTGTCATGGAAAAGAGATTTACAAATTTATATGTTGTTTCTTTTAATAAGCATTTATCCCTTTGGAGCTTTTCATGACAGCACAAAACTCCTTGGGTGTAAAATTTATTAGATTTACCATCAGTCTATCCCCCACCTCATATACATATGCACACGCACTCACACACCTGCATATGCATACTTACTAAACAGCGGCCCATTAGGCTCATAGCGTTACCATTTTCATTTGTGCCGCTGTTACGGCTATTAAGACTGCCATGATTACATGCACTTTGCACTAAATGGCATACATTTGCTCAACTAGTAATTAAGCATGCCCTTCTGCTGTGTTCTGCAGACATTTGGTGTGCTCAAAGAAGTCCTCAAGTACCACCATCACACTTATGGTCTGGTGATGGGTGGCACAAACCGCAGTGATGAGGCCAAGAAACTGGCCAAAGGTATCAACATCCTTGTGGCTACCCCGGGCAGACTGCTTGACCATTTACAGGTTAGTATGCCAAAAGATATTAATTGATAAATAGATTTCTACTTCTCTGTCTTTGTATGTGCTTCTCTTTTTGTCTTTCTCTGTCTCTGTCTCACTCTCTCTCTCCTCTTTCAATGAAGTCATGTCTGACATGATCTATTCTTATCTCTTACTGCATTGGTATTTTATGTGGTCATACAGTGGAGCCCACTTTGAATGAACAGGGTTAATCCAAAATCAGTGATAACGGAAAGAAAAATAAAATCTTTTTTTTTCTTTTTTCTTTTATTTGAGCAATATCTCTAAACCCAAAACCAGGCTAAACTGAAGAAGAGCTGGCAGTCCCCACAGATTTTAGTTTATATTGACTCCAATGTAAACATTTATATGTCTTGGTCAATTGAGACAAATCCCAATAGATGTAATTTTGAAGCCACTTCAGTTTGTAGAAAATTCAATTGATAACAAATATTACTTCTTATGGACATTTGTCGGCTTGAATGATGCTTGTAATATGAAAATGAAATTGGGTGGGGGGGTCTTTATGTGTTGATTATTCCTCATAATAAACGTAGTCCCAATTTTGTTAGATTGCAAGACACCTTATTTTATTCACACAGTGAGCCGAAGCTCATTCATTTTATTAGCAACCTGGAAAAACAGCCTTGTTGATAACCTTTTAACATATTTATTTTTCTGACTTCAGAACACCAAGGACTTTTTGTTCAAGAATCTACAGTGTCTGGTGATTGATGAGGCTGACCGCATTCTGGACATGGGTTTTGAGGAAGAAATGAGACAGATCATTCAGCTTTTGCCCAGTAAGTCATCCTTCTTGTTTGAGAACTTTTACAAATTTGCTGACATTGATAAATAATACTGTTTTTGGCACCTGAAATAAGGATTGAAGGAGGGGCTGTAACTTATGAGCCTTGAGCATAAAAATAATTATTAATTTGACTTTGTTAACTGATTTCTGTTTGTTTTTGTGTGCAGAAAAGAGACAGACTATGCTATTTTCTGCAACCCCCACACGCAAGACAGAAGATTTAGCCAGGATATCACTGAAGAAAGAGCCTTTCTATGTTGGCGTAGATGATAAAAAGAATCAGGCAACAGTTGAAGGACTGGAACAAGTAAGTATATTCTTAAATACAATTGTATCATTAGTTACCTTTTGATGTTGCAGAATAGTATAGTACACTTATTTTCTTTTCATTGTTTTTTTTCCCCCCACAATAGAATACAAACTGAAAGGTATGATTTTTATCTATTATGTTGTCTTCATTTTGTGGTCGTTTCTATTACTGCACTGATGTTTGAAAAGGCTTTTTACTTTGATGGATTGCAATGTGAGTTAGTTTTGCTCCAGTTCATTTTCACTTCTATGTCAATGTTTTTTCTTCATCTCTTCACACACCTCCTGGCCTTTGTGACCCAAATAATCTTCATAGCAATATGAAAGTTTAGTTTAGCTTGAGTGTTTTCTGGGCGGTTGTACTTTTTTCCTTTGCTGTATATTGAACCACTTCAATGTTTACTGGCTTTGGTACAATTTCATTGCTCTGAAAAGTTTTATCATGGCTTTATGACTATCCCTTTCCCGAATTAAAATTACAGTTATTTTTTTTAAAAATCAGGGCTATGTGGTGTGTGAACCAGACAAGAGGTTTCTCCTCCTTTTCACCTTCCTGAAGAAGAACAAGAAGAGGAAAGTAATGGTGTTCCTGTCCTCTTGCATGGCTGTGAGGTTCTATCATGAGCTCCTCAACTACATTGACCTTACTGTCATGTGCATCCATGTGAGTTTTGTTACCATGTCTGTCTAATTGATATTTGTGTTGTGTCACTTACATATGTGAGACATGCTGACAAAATCGATTATTTTGTGGATTTTGTCATGGACATGGATAGATACCATCAAAGTTATAGGTTGGAAGTAACTTATTTTGTAAGCATGCCTCACATATGTAATAAGTTCTCCTGAATACTGAGCATTTTGGACTTGAAGAATGATATACTGTTTGGAATTTGTACAAAGTGTATGAGCCACTGAAAATTGGAATAAACCCATAAAATTTGGGTATGTCATTTGGTGGTGTTTTGAGGATTATGTAATTTTATTTTGTTTTTGTTTGTGGTGTGTAATTTTGCCTTCTTGACCAACAGAGACACACACACACACACACACACACACACACACACACACACACACACACACACACACACACTCGGAGTCATTGTTGGTACTGTCTAAAAAAAGAAATTTGTCAAAATTTGTTTGACCCTCAAAATCACTTTTAAAATGATTTAAACTGAACAACAATAAATAACAGCTCAAAATAGTTATGTTGGTAAACTGGTTCCAAATTTGATTTAAAAAAAAAGTAAATTGTAAACAAAGAAAAGATATTGAAAAAAAAAAAGAGATTTATTTGGAAATGCACATACTTCAGTGGTCTCTTTCGCTAGTGTATTGTTGACTAATGGCTGAGCTTAATCAAACTTAATGTGGCAGAGAGCTTGTGCAGTTGTTTGAAAAAAAAAAAGGGAACAAATTTTCCCAAGCAGGTCTATTCGTGTTGATAATGCATTGTATTGGATGATGTTTTAAACCACATTTTTCTGGTGGATTCACAGGGCAAGCAGAAACAGACCAAACGCACACAGACCTTTTTCCAGTTTTGCAATGCTGACAGTGGTATCCTGCTGTGCACAGATGTGGCTGCCAGGGGTCTGGATATCCCACAAGTGGACTGGATCATACAGTACGACCCACCAGATGATCCCAAGGTGAGAATGTGCCTCTTGCACCCTGGTATTGGCTGCCAGGAAGGGGTCTCTTCCCATCTCTATTCTGTGAAATTCTCACCACCAGCTGTGCCTAATCTGTGAGATATGGTTTCAGTTCTTATTCCCAAGTGAATCTCAGACTTCCTCTCTTTTTCCCACGCAAGGGGATTTCCATCTCAGGCTGTGCCGTGTCGCATTGTGGACTGGTTTCCTACTATTATGCCAAATTCATTGCCATCTTCTTTTCTTGATCTCACAGTCTAGTGGTTGTTGTTTGGTTCTCCATAATTCCCCATTTCTGATGTTGTCCGGCCAGTAGGGCTGGGCCGCGAGAACGGAACTGAATCGCCACTCTTGCCTGCGGAACGCGATTCACGGTTCACTTCAGCGGAACAGTATCGCCAAACGATTTCCGTTTCACTCCACTGTCGCTGTCACCACCTTGTGGCTTGTTTAACCTACTGCTGAGTTGAGTCACGAGCGCAAGAACAGAACGGAACACTTAGTATGGCTCCCCTTATTTTACAAAAGATGGTATAGTCCAACCCCCCTATTAAAACAAATAGATGGAAGGAATTTTATGGAGCCATTGTTTTAGCGAATCATGGGGTGGGGGGGGGGGTGAATTTATGGGGGTCGTTAATTGAGGTCAGTAGATAGAGCAGCGCAACAAAGGGTGTGGGGCGGAGAGGATGGCGGAACAACAAAAGTGGGACTTGCGCTCGCCAAGTGGCGTTGACATGACACTGTTCCGTTTCAGTCAGTGTTCCGCCACAGTTCCACAAGCGCTCGCGAACTCGCGATTCTTTGAAGCCGACTGAATCACAAGTCGCCACTCTCAAATTTGGCGAGCAGGATCCAGCCCTACCGGCCAGTGGATTTTCATGATCTTTTTCAGGCAACCGTTCAGGAAGGACTACATCATGTAGTTTGTTTGCTATCTGCATTGTTACTTTGCATTGTTACTTTCTGTGTTTTCGATCCATACAACAGAATTGTGTACTGGTCCTTGTTATTGGTGACATTGGCCTTAAAGGAAAATTAAAGATGCTTTGAGTTTACTTTTGTCTTCTCCTCACAAGATCTGAAGCTTTCCTTTGTTGTTATTATCGCTGACACCAAGAGAGAAACCCGCAAGCCGTGCTCATCCACAAGTGGAAGTGGAGTTTTTAAATGTTCAAAATAAGGCAAACTTTTCTCTGCCACATTTGGTGTCATCAGCCACAGCAGAAGTCATACGTCATCTTAACCGTTTCGCACTTACAGCGCCCGTATGCGCCCGCGCCGGTGACCCCCGCTCATTCCTATAGCGCCCGAATGCGCCCGCCACCGGGGTGTTTGTTTCGTTGCCGTGGGAGGCTTCTACTTTTACTATCATCAGAAGTTTAACTTAGCTATCTTTATAGAGGAAGGGTTCCGGTTTACTATGGTGTTTTTCTTGTTTTGCTAGTACAAAGAGTCACTTTTTGAGCGGGAACAAAAGTCGGAGGAGATTTTAGTTGTAAACACGCCATCATGTCTCTAGGATGCATGGGCACAAAGCTGCCCGATATGAGTACAGCAAAAACAAAACAAAAACACCCAAAGAAAAGTCTTTTAGGTGCTTTCAAGTTTCCACCAGAGGCTTCAATCTCTGTGAATGTGTTGTATTTCTTTTGTTGTGTGGATTACCTCTTTGTCAGTGGCAGAAACTTCGTGAGTTGAAGAAATGTAGTATACGAGGTCTAGATCTAGATCTAGACTCGGAATCCAAGACACGCATCTCAAAAAGACCTCTCATATCATTTCATACTCTTCTATTCCACTTATAATTTTGTACTAGTAATTTAGCTCATTCATTTTCCTTTCAGAAAATACTATTTTCATAATTTTTGGTTGTGTTTGTGATTTTATACAATTTTCGTGGAGTTGTTGCCCTTGTCTTAAGGATGGGGGCCACAGCTGGCCAAGCCTGCTAAGTGCGAAAGGGTTAACCTTGTATTCTTCTATCTCTTGAGAAATATTCTCCTCTGCGGATGTATTGGTCTGTTATAATTAAGTGTGGAACGCCAGTCATCACAATTTGATGTTCAATACAGTGCAATTTATTTGTCTTTAGACTGACATACTACTCTCTTTGGCTGTTCAAGTTTCTGCTGGATAAATGTTTTATGTGGGTGATTTGCGGGTGTTCTGGTGTGGTTTGCTCTTTCTTTCCTATCAAACATCTGTCATCTTTGTCTCTCCCTTTTCTTTGGATGATAATCTTTAGTAACATCTCCAATCTTCAGCATGACCTTTTTGTGTAGCAAGTGCAGTAAAATTCTTACTAAAATTAAAAATATTTTATTCTGTGCAGATAAAGTTTTTGAAGCTGACCCTACTTTGTGAAACAGTTATTTTGTGCTATTCCTCCCGTCCCCCGATAGGTTCTCTTTAATTTTTGCAGCTTTTTAATGCCCTCAGACCTGATTTAATGGCCACCCGTAAAAGACAATCACCTGTACAAGCAGCCTCTTCTCATCTCTTCCATTGCATATTTTTAACATTATAATGACACTGTGTATGACAGCCTCCTATCTAATACGGCCACTTTTCTCCTCGACAATGAGTGTTTGTCTTAGTTTCTATTGCCTTTTGATTATTTGGTTCAACTTTCATCTTTTCACAAGTGCTTCTTATTGGCTCAATCGCTCTGCCATCCTCATTTTGCAGGAGTACATTCATCGTGTGGGACGAACTGCTCGTGGTGAAGGCGGACAAGGGAATGCTCTCCTGTTTCTCAATCACATGGAGCTGGGATTTCTGCGCTATCTGCGACAAGCCAAAGTGCAATTGAACGAGTTCCAATTTCAGTGGAGCAAAGTGGCCAACATACAACCTCAGGTAGAGGCCAGAATGATTTTCTCGTTTAAATGACTAGTTCTTACCTTCTAACCAGTTCAAGTTACTGTCTGTAGGTTTTCAGGATTAGTTTTATTTGAATTTACAAGGTAGACTGATATTCTTATCACAATGAAAGTTGACCCTTGTTTTACGTTGTTGGATTGCGTAGCGAAGAGCAGGATCCTGTCTGATTTTGACCAGAAGAACCAGGATCTCAGTGGGGATACTTTTTATAGAGTGGGAATTCCATTTATTTGAAAAAGCAAGACCATAAGGGAATCGGGATGACCAGCAGCTGGTTGACAGTTGTATCAAGACTTAAAGTTTAGGTTCTCCTTTCGTAGAATGCAAATGCTTAGATGTGGTTCATAATACAGTGGGGCACAGATAACGCAGATGTGGAAAATTTGAAGCCACAGATTTTCTTTTCTGTTAGCTCGAATTATTAATGTGTCAAACATATTTGTCAATCCCTGACATGTATGGGTTATATGTGCCCACCTGTATTGTTATTATCTTTATTTCTTGTTCTCAGCTTGAAAAATTGATCAGCAAGAACTACTACTTGCACAAGACAGCACAGGAAGGCTTCAAGGCTTACGTGAGAGCTTATGCATCGCACAAGCAGAAGGGCATCTTTGACGTGAGCAAACTGGATGTGACAAAGACGGCCAAGTCTTTCGGCTTTGCAGTGGCACCATATGTTGACCTCAGTATCCTTTGCTAGTATTACAAATTGTCCAAGCTTTTTATGTTGGTGAGAAAGGACTGGTTTTTAGGGGATTTAAAAAAAAAATGTTTTTGGCGTTTGTATACTTGACTGTCATTTTGACTGGAAAGTAAAATGTTTAGCAAGTTGACTGCTGAACCTCAGGAATTTGAAAAAATTGCGGACACCCAGGTATGCCATGGGAATTTGGGAAAATATGTAAAGTTCTCAAAAAATTTAAAGATCAAATCTGATAAGGTCAGTAAGTTCATTTTTGTCGGTAGCGTTTATGATATTCATTCACCTTTTCCTGGTCTGAGAGTAAATTTTATGCAAACAGGCGGCTGTGCCGGAAGTGTATGTATAACAGTCACCAAGGCTCAATCGGGAAAATCAAGATCTGCTATTGTTACCGCGTAAAATTTGGCGGCGATAGTTTTGAACGCTGAGTTGCCATGCAAAGAAATCCATATTCGTCACTGTGCTGTCACTTGTGGAAAAAAAAAGGCAAGGAAATACAAACGTTGTCCGATTTTCAGCTTGTTGGGCTCGCCATAGAGACAGGTCAGTGAACATGCGCGTGTTTGCCTCGCGCAGGGCTGCCAACCTTTCCGATTTTATCGTAATCATTACGATTTTTCAGCTTTATTACGAAATTTCTATCGTAAGGCGATTTATTACGATTTTTACCGTCAGCAGATTTTTGGCCAGGACTATTAAAAAAAAATATTGTTGGCTCTTTAAAAAATTTTTACATGTCTTAGTGCTGACCTGTAAATCGTCCGCCAATAGCCAGGGTCCCCACCAGGTCGGGAAAAAGTCGGGAATTTTGTGATGGGTCGGTAAGTCTGGAAAGGATAGGGCGTGCGTAATATTAGTAGTGTAGCTATCAAGACAATATGATTGGTGAATCATGAAGAGGAAACGTAACTGAACGGCGGAAGTGTATGTGTGACACTGAGGCTCGATCGGGAAGAATCACGATCTAATTTCACTTTCGTGACTACCCAGAAATTTTCCGGTGATAGTCTGATAGATAACGCAACATTTGTAACATGCAGGCTGTGCATTACAAATGCTGTGTCACCTTGAAAATAAATCAATATTAAAAATTTGTCCTCTGCTGTCCCTTGTGAAAAAAGAAAAGAAAGTTATGCAAGCGTCTTGTCGCGTTTGCCATCGTGGCCGGTCTATGAACCTGTGAGTGCAAGTACCGGCGGTCTGAGCGCTGTGAAGTGTAGGACCCCGGAAAAAAATAAGATACACTCAGGGAGTGGGGGGGGGGAGCTGAAGGCAACGCTAGAGGTCAAAAACTTAACTTGGAAGCACATTTTTAGTATTTAGAATTTAACTAACGCGTTCGCGTTTCATTGGATGGGGTGATTGTAATTTATATATCTATATTTTAGCTTTCTGTTCAAGATTGGCAGATTTTAAGTGTCACTGCATCTTGCCCTCCCTCAGTTCTTACACCTCTCGCACTGACAGTGAATAGGTCTACTTGAGCCACTCAAGTAATTACACTAATATTACTCTACTTTGAGCAATAGTTTTCGTCTTCTCGTTTATTATATGAATCACGACTCCCAGACTAGTTATTGACAATCGATATTCTAGTTTTAGGTCTTTTCTCAGGCTCACAACAGGATTCATTTTTTAATAGGGCCTATAGTTTATGTAGGCTAATATGATGAGGGGAAAATATAAATAAGTAAGAACAGACTGAAATACCTAAGTCACACAAGATCACAGTGCCACACTGACATGTTGTTGACTGGATATAGTGTACCTGAGCAATTGCCAAAACGTGAGACTCTCTTGAGACTCAGTGGTTCCAAAATTTTTTTCTTACCAATTTGACGCTTTCATAACACACTGCTTTCTTACCCTTTTCTGTCAGTCTCAGATTGACATTTAGAGCTCATATTTCTAGAGTATCAGAGCAAGAAGATGTAGGGTTTTGGAGATATGGGTCCATTGGTTTGGCAACCACTGTATTTCTTGTATGTAGCACTGATGACAAAAACAGATAAGCAGCAAGGCAAATTATAGACTTTAAATTCCATTTGTTTAGTAAACAAACACTTTGTACACTATGAACTCCATTCATAATGGTAATATGAATGACAAGCATTGTAACAATGACGCAGTGCACAGAACATTTCATCATTGTTATGTACAAGAAAGGATACACATTGGACATTATCATTGACAACACATCACAATAGTGAAAGGCTGTACAAATACAGTTATCAAAGCCTCAGCACCAGAAAAACACATGTGTAAAACAATTTTTTAACTAATATGAGGCAAAAGCACAAAATCAATGGGGCTGACTTGTGCATAACAGTGATGACAAACATGACTTGTAAATAACAATGATGACACAATTTACAGGAAAAGACAAAGTCATGCCTCCAGAGAGAAATGCACACTTTAAGAATAAAAAAAAAAACCAGGAGAGGTTTCTTTTGCTTTGAAACAGATATCAGGTCATATCAAAGACAGTAGACAATCACAATTACGTTGCTAATTATGACAAACAGTACTCGTACATAACAGTGATGACAAAACATACTTGGAAAATGTAAAGTCATGCCTACAAAGAACAAATTTGCACTGTGACTGTGAGATACACAGATCAATAAAGGCGTATTTTGTTTCTAAATGAATCTTGCATGTATGAAATATATGTTGAAAACTTATTGATATTAGCAATTATGAAAAATATTACTTGTACATAACAATGATGACACAATGTATTGGAAAAAGGTATATCATGCCAACAAAGAACAAATGTGTACTTTTGAGTTAGTCAGATAAACAAGGACATGTTTGTCTATTTGTTTGAGTAAAAAGAGCACACATGACTTAAATAATGTTTGCTCTTAGGACAATGTAATTTCTAGTACGTCAGTCAGTCTTGTACGGCTGCATGACGACACCCCAAACGTCATCACTAAGCACAAAAGCTAAATCTATAACCACAGAAATGATCCATCTCTCAAAGTTTATTCACACATCACACTCTTGTTCCAGGAATCCAATGTAAACACCGCAATTTCACTAAAATATTCAATAGGGTAGCCTAAAAACACGCAAAACAGTCCAGTACGTCACATTCAGCGCAATATTCTTGTGCGTAACCGGAGGGTGACGGCAATGACTACTTTCGTTTTTCTCTTTCCCCCGTTGCTTCTGCTGTTCTCGGGAAGCGGGTAAGGGGAAGTCACTCAAGAAAACAATTTTATCTGGGCACTGTTGATGATCCGTTCAAAACAAAAGTAGGCTAAAATTCGGACTTCCGGTACGTCGCAAAGTGGCGCCTTTAACGGCGAATGTTAAACAGCCGACCGAAATCGCAGATATAGGAACCCGATGTTCCTTTCGTGCATCGTGGCTTTTGAACTATTGAATAAACGACGAAAAGCATACTGAAAAATAATGGTGTTTTCTGAAACACCTAGTCCGTGACGACACCACTGACGCAAAGTGATCCGAATTATTCGTTTATTTGCAAACAAATAAACCGATTTCTTGAGCAAGTGAACCTTTCTCGATCACAAATAGCATAGAATTAAAGCACAGGTTAAAAAAAAAACACCCAAAAATACTAAATTTTGGACATTCTTGGAAGTTTGCATTGGTGTGCTCAAAATGACAGTCCAGGAATCACAAAAAACCGAACATTTTTGGCAACAAATTTTACATACTCAAGATTGTAATGCTGACACTGGGTCTGAAACTGCTAATGTAGGTTCTACATCCTATATTTAACGTTATAAGTTTTGGAGGAATAAATACTAATGCATCACATTTTATGCACACTAATGTGAGATGTATGTGTTTTTCCCCATGTTTTGGCAATGGCTCACCTACATGTGTGTGTGTGTGTGTGTGCATTCACAAACATATATACATATATTAGATATAATTGGAGCACGTGCTGTCATTGTTATGTTAGCCTTGCCCATAATAATATTGTACACGAGTAGAAGCATTCGATAAGCCCTATTTTTCCGTAATTAAGACATTTTTTGTTTGTTGTAATATAGTAATTTGAAAATAAGAGCACTATTACTAATTTTTATGGGAAATTACTAATTTTCTTCATGGTCATTACTAAAAACCATGGAGATGGGTTGGCAGCCCTGCTCGCGTGGTGTCGTGTGATTACCTGCTCTTGGTGGGGTCACAAAGTTCATTCAAAGTCTGATCGTTGAAAAATATGGGGGGGGGGGGATATTATTGATTTAAAAAAAGATTAGAGCTCTCTGCGAAGTGCGTTTTGGTGCGGGCCGTTTGTGGAATAGGGATTCGTCATACCTTGTAAGCCTTGTTATTGAACTATGAAGTGTTTGCGTTTCGATGGAAGGGTGATGATAGTAAATTATAACTATATTTTAGCTTTCTGTTCAAGATTGGCAGATTTTCAGTGTCGCTGCATCTCGACCTCGCTCAGTTCTTACACTTCTCACACTGAATAGGTCTACTTGTGCCATTCAAGTTTTTACTCTACTTTGAGTTTGAGCAATAATTTTTGTCTTTTACGTTTATAATATGAATCATGACACCAAGATTCATTCTTGACAGTCAATATTCTGGTTCTAGGCCCTTTCACAGGCTCAATGCAGGATTCATTTTTATAATATAGTATATATAAGATAAGATACATCTTTATTGTCCAGATCCTGGCACATTGGTTTGGCATTTCACCATGTACACGCATATGAAATGATGAGGGGAAAATATAAGTAAAAACAGACTGAAATACCTAAATCACAAAATACTCCAGTGCCACACTGACATTTCGTTAACAGGATATAATGTAGGCTACGTAATTGTGTGTGTGTGTATGTATATACACACACATATATAAATATAGCATGCGCTGTCGTTGTTATGTAACATGCCCCTGGAAAACTGAGAAGCCGGTCTGGCAGTCATCCTGGTTTTCTGATGGAACTAAATTTTTGACTCTCCAACTTTTTTGGCCTTTTCAGTACTTTTCACTCTGTTGCTCAAAAACAGCTTTGCCAAGAACTGGGACTTTTCTCCAGGCATAAATACATTTGATGAATTCGAGGTCTCCTTACCAATGATAAGTTTATAATATAAATAAATCACGAGTATGAATTTGTTGAATGTAAGTTTCACTGTTGTGCCCAGTGGCAGAGTCATAAAGCTGCTTACTTGTTATTAGTTTTGTATAGGTTCGAATGTCTGTTTGTTCAACTATTTTTTCCTTAACCTGCACCAGATGTGATCAGCAACAAGGTGCAGGCTCGATCAGGTCGTCAAGGCTCTGGATACAAGAACAAGAAACAGATGCAGAAATCGAAGATTTTCAAGAATGTTCCGGGCAGGAGGGGGCGATAGAAATGAGGAAGTGTAGGAGTGTTAAATTCAATGTGTTCCACAATTGTTGTCGAGACTGGCGTATGCGGACTGTTATTTTCTTGCATGTGATGAGTTTTGTTTCTCAAGTAACCGCTTTGAAAGAATTTCAGATGGACCGCGGATTGTATGCTTGGAAAAGAAAGGCATTGATCATGCACCAATATTCTCTGAATAAAGCATGTTTGAAAAGTTTTTCATTTGTCTGATTCTGGTTTTTGTATTCGTTTGTCAGGTTTGTTCATTTGTGGGGTATTATTAAAATTGTAACATTTTACAAATGCCTACCAATATATTGTAGACCACAGTAGAACTTCTAAGTAACCCGATTAAATTGCTGAACTACCAGGTGTTTCACATTTGTAGCATGAGCAGTGCGTTATGAAAGCGTCAAGTGTCAAGAAAGGCAAACAATTTGTGACAGTTGTTGGAACCTTTTGCATGCTTTAAAACCAGCCTTTGGAGATAGATTTTTGTTTACGGGATCTGTCTCTTAAATTACCCACTTTGAGTCAAAGGGGGCTTTAACGTTTAACCCTTTGAGCCCTGACCTCCCGAGGCTACCTTTCCTCTCAGCCTGAGCGATATATATTACAACATTCATGTGAATGTCAGAATCACATTTCATATCCCACTTGGGGTAGTCCTTGTCATTACCAGCATCTTATTCAGAAAGACCTTCAAAATAATACAGTCATGTAGTTAGTAGTAAACGCTGTTTTGTGTAAGTGTTTTTTCTCAGATCGGCTGGTTTAGGGATGGGGTCTCGCTCACGGGTGTATCGGTGGCTAGGCATACGGGCAGTTTTGGGTGCCACTGGTGTACTGGTTGCAAGGGCTCAAAGGGTGGTAAAAGTACCGGTATTGAAAATTAAGAGTGATTATCTAGTTAAACATATAAATGTGGATGGTTGGCAGGTGCTCTGGTGTGGTTTGCTCTTCTTTCCTTTCATCTATCGTTCTTATCTCTTCTCCTTTTTGTGTTTGGTAGTCTCTTGTAACACCTCTAATCTTAGGAGTGGCGTTAGTAGCCTAGTGGTTGCTACTGGACTCGTAATCGTGAGATTGCGAGTTCGGGGGTTCGATCCTCAGCTCGGTCCGACATGTCCTTGGGAAAAGCACTTTACACGAACTTCCCACTTGGCTCGGTCCTATCGGAGACGGGCGTTAAACTAGGAGGTCCCGCCCCTTAAATAACCTAAATAGTGTCGATGCCATTTTTTTCTAATATTAAGCACTTTGTGCTGCAAGTGCCGTGAACCTCTAACTAAAGCTAAAAAAACCCCCAACCATGTAGACCCGGTTCCAAATAGTTCACAAAACTATAATCTATAATGTACAAATACTGGACAGAAGAGGCACCAGTGTCCAAGTTGCTGCTTTTCCAGTACAATCCTCACCTTGCTTTGGTATTGACAAGGGAGACCATAGCCATCACAAATCACAGCAAATGTCCAGAGTTAATCATGTACTCCAATCCCAATACCATGTATAGGTTGATTCTTGTGGTCAGAGAATTTTTATCGAGTATCCCATTCTTTCTGATGGAATGTTGTATTCCTTCTTGAAAGCCCAGGTTTGCCCCTAAAATCTGGATCGAAGCCCCTGCCTCTTAAAATCTAAATTATCGATGGGACCTTAAAAAAATCCTTAACTAGGAAGAAGAAAAAATTCTCAATATTCCTGACTGCTCCTTAGAACAAATGTTGTCAATAAATCTAATTATAGAACAGTTAAGTGAAGCAAACTCTTGACACAAAAACTCATTACTATTACTATTTAACTATGCGATGATGAGCTTTATCTGAAGAAAATCTGTTCCCTTTGCAGGAATGCGTGTGATTATGTAATATGGCACCACACAGTGCAATATTGATCTGCTACAGTTACCCACTCCATAAAAAAATTTGCCAATATGTGTTGTAGTTGTACTGGTACACATAAAAAAATTCCAAAAATTTGGATGGAGAATTGAAGTAAAAAGGTAAAGGTAGAAAAGCAGCCACAGATATAATATGTGTTTTCCAATTTCAACAGTAATATTTCATCTAAATATTCAAGAGCATAGCAAATGTAACTCTAACATATCATCGCCCCTGAACTATTTTGACCAAAGTGTGCTTATGTAAAGAGACACTTTGGACAAAATAGTTCTGAGGTGATGATATGGCACGCGTGAACAGTGAAAAGTATAGGCCCTTCATGATTCAGTATTGTGTTTTTCCGATATGATGACTATGAATCACTGCGTATTATAACATCAATAAGGTCATAAATCAATGACCAAAAAATATGGTGACATTTATGGCACAAATTTATTCAAATCTGTCGGAGATGAGACAGTGACGTGACTGCCAAATACACAGGACTCGCTATACACAAGGGAGGCAACACTGTTCTACACTCTTCAAGTACCAGACAAAATTTTAACAATGAACAATTTTTGCGAGCGGCACTCTCCCTATCAGAAGAAAAAGGCATTGTGTCCAACAAGTATTTTGCAGCAAGAGCTGTTTTACATACCATACTGAATTTTTAATTCAGTAATGAGCTAGCACATGTTTTTCAACTACCTTCTTCTGTTCAGAAAGTATCAGTGTTGAAAACTTTCTGTGTTCCATACCTCTGTATCATAGTTTCTGTCCTTGTTAACAGGCAAACCAACACCATTTCCTTTTCTTTGAATTTTATAGGACCTTCAGGAAGTCTTACACTTACTATGCCTAAGCTGCATCCTTGTCAGTAAAATTCAGTGATCATTTATTAAGCATCAACTCAGCTAGCCTCACTGATTACACAATTTGTTATCCACCACTGGAGAATTCTCACAAGTATTTGTTGAAAAGACAAGAGTAAAAGTAGCATGAATGATTTCATCTTGGATGTACATTCTTCACAATCTGTAGAACATTCTTGGCCTGTCTTAGCAGGGGCATGTCAATCATCTGTCCTCTGAATGTGAATGCTCCCTGGAAGAAAAGACAAGTCAATAAGGTGAGAACAACAAACACATTAAATAAAGGGCTTCCTTAGGGTGATGTGCTGTTAACAAAAAAAGCAAAGTATATTGAAAATAAAAGGTGCACATTGTGCAGGTGTCAAAAAGAATGCCGTAAAGTTTAAGACAATTTTTGGACACTATAACGCTTCCTTGATTAAAATTAAAGCACCCGATTCCATAAAACATGACCTGGATTATTGACATAAATGAGTTCCCCATCAGTTAGAAATGCAGTGAGGTTCAACATTTTTTTATTTTGTTATCAAGGGATGTTCCTTAACGCTCGCTCAGTTGACTCACAAAGTATAAAGAATGGCAAAAACATACCCGAGAAGATCTGCCCTGAAACACATCTGTCAATACCAATAGCAGGAAAAAAAATTGGAAACTTGAAACCAAGGGGTTTCACTAGTTTTAGCAATTGTAGTACCCCGTTTATCAATTTTTCCATACCCCGTTTATCAATTTTTCCAAAGTACAGTCAAACCTTGTATCACCAGCCCCGCTTACCACCAGGTTTTGCTAATGTGCGAAAACGAGTGCCTATAATATTTACACCTTCACACTGCCATCTGCCGACTGTCTCAGTTGTACGGCCCTTATTTAGCTAATGTAAGTTTGCCCCACCATATCACCAGAGGTGCACACCGCACATGGTGCACAAGACCCCCACTGGTGTGGTTTGCAACTTGATATCTTTCTCCCACAAGAAAGCTATAGACACAGAGAGAGAGAGAAAACTCTTGGCTCAGAATACAAGTGCAGCATGTATATGTCTGGCCCCGCAGAAAATTGCATTTTTGAAATAGAAAAATTGCAAGGTAAACCGCCTAAAATTAAATTGCAAAAAATTGCAACCTTCCCATCCCAGGCGCATTAGTACGGGCTTAACATTTTTAGTTTAAAAAAACATGACAATTTTGAGTACCGGTAGCATTATAGCAGCACAACCTTTTAAAAAATCATGACAAACAATACAAATTCATCAAATGTTATTACCATTTACTAGTAACAACACACAAGTTTCTCAAGACTGAGATCATTACAAATCAGTATTTTATTGCCTCAAACACAATGATCTGTCATTATTTCGATTAAAAAAAACCCACAGAGCGCTGTCCCAGCTGGCGCCGCACCAGCCCCAGCGGCAAGCCACCGGCTCTTTCCCGGAGTATACTGAGTGCTCCCTGCGTGGGGGGTCGCAAGCGTTCCGAGTTCCGCGGAAGGATTGATGCAAAATAATTCCAGGCCGATTACTCTATTCTAATAGAAAAATCAACTGATCTTTCTATTGGTGCCTTTTTTGAGCCGATACCGAACACATAGGAAAATCTGCAAGGGTTCAGTGTGAAGATTGCGGTGCAAAACCTTCTTATCAGAGATAAAAATGTGCAAATATTTTCTAAAACTGGCTCTATTCTATACTCTCAGATCCCTTAAAATACCACTTTGGGAACAGAAAGCTTATAAACATTTCTGGGCATTATTCAGGAAATAATATTAAAAAACGCACAAGGGATGTCACTTTTTGGCATTTTGAGGAAAACAAAAATTATTTGAAATGTTTGACAGCCCACATTTTTCCATAGTAAAACTTATTTTAGAAGCCTAATATTGGGCGACTGATTAGTTTTAACCCTACACACATAGATGGATCAGAAGAGGTGCATAAACATTTTCCAACCCATGTACCATTCAAATTATCCAAAAACTTACATCTCTTCTTTTCCCTTGTACCCTTCATATGTAATAACCTGGCCCCGCGGAAAATTGCATTTTTAAATTAGAAAAATTGCAAAAAATTGCAAGGTAAACCGCCTAAAAATTGCAAAAAATTGCAACTTTCCCATCCCAGGCGCATTAATACGGGCTTAACATTTTTAGTTTAAAAAACATGACAATTTTGAGTACCGGTAGCATAAAAGCAGCACAACCTTTTAAAAAATCATGACCCACAATACAAATTCATCAAATGTTATTAACAACATTTACTAGTAACAACACACGAGTACATTAACAATAAAGTTATCGACCAAATATAATATGATAACACGTGACCAAAAATAACGGAACCCTCGGTTTTCGTAATAACTTTTAAATGAAGGCATAAAATTTGACCAAATTTAGTACATACCGGGTACTTGGTTCATGCAAAAATCTAGAAGTGTATGAGGTTCAGTCTAAAAAAAACCAAAAAATTGACGAGAGATTTTCGAAACAACCTCTAAATACAAAAAAAGCTTATGCTCCAATCAAACCAGATCCTGTTCTATTTTTCTCTTGAAACCTTCGATACACCGGTAATCTCTATTTAGATCTATTTAAGATATTTTCAGTTTTAAAACCGGCATGGTATTGTTTTAACACTAAGTCAAATCGTAAAATACAGCAAATTTTTTTTCTTCCATTTATAAACAATAGTAATACATGTACTTATGTAGATCTAGATCATTTCTATAGCACCCACTCCCGTGTGAACGCAGCTTAAGGCGTTTTACATAACGGGGTGTTTACGTACACGGTACACGGACACCGCCTCAGTGTCTACGTACACGGTAACCGGTAACCGGGCACGTAGTCTAAGTGTCACGTACACGGTAACCGGGCAGTTAAGAATTCCAAGTTCAGTTTTTGTCATCTGGTGTCGCCTTCAACTCCAGCCCTCCTCCGACTGTACATTTTTTTTAAAAAATCAATAATTCTCCTATTCCGGAGCCCTATACTTCGTAGCGCACAGACTTTGAATGAACTTTGGTGACCCCAACCGGTACTCAGAATGTGAAGCGAAAGCACAGGTTCACTGACCGGTAACGATGGCGAGCCTGACAAGACGCGTGTATAATTTTCTTTTTATATTTCAACAAGTGACAGCACGGGACAAATATTGGTTAATTTTCATTACGGTGGGTTATTGTGTACGTAGATACTGAGACTAGGTGCCCGGTTACCGTGTATGTAGACACATGCATCGTGTACGAACAATATTCACGTGCGCGCACTCACACGCACACACACTCACGTACACCTCACACACGTACACACCTACTTTCTTATCACACGGGCACGCTTACTACACACATTAGATAAAAGGCCTAGACCTGCATGTTTGCCGACAATCGTCTGAAATCCGACAGTCGCGAACCGGCCGATGCTATCGCTAGGCCCGCCTGTATCAGTCAATGTGCGTAGTGCGAGGCTTGGCCGACTGCCAGCGACCCATTTTTCTCCCGTCGGCTTCGTCGGCACTTTCGTTTTCGTGCCGACCGCCGACGCGCGCACCGCCGACGTCGGCGTTTCCGACATAATTGTCGGAACCTCGGAACTTAAGTAGAAATGCGAATACGAAAAAGGACGACAACTTAAATTATCTACTTTCAGTTTCGTGCTCGAGCGGCCATTTTGAATTTCGTTTGTTGACTAATTCAATTGTTCAGATCGTATATGGATTCATTCAAGTCCGACTCTCTTGTTCTAATAGAATCTAGATCTAGATCTAGATTTATAAATAGACCTCAATGGAGGATTCATATTCCAATTCTATTGTGTCAAACCCTATCATAGGTTGTGCTGTAATATTTATATTGGTAAAAATAAGCATTTCATCAGGTGCGTGAATTATTTATTTATTTAGATTCTAGTAAAGATCTAGGATCTAGATTCTAAATCTAGATCTATCTAGATCTAGAATCTAGACTCAGCTGAGTCCCTCTGTTCGGAATCGGATGCGGATTTCTAGTTCAAGGCCTATTCCTATTCACTTGTTCTACAAGATCTAGATCTAAATTTATTTAGATTACTAGATCTATATATGAAGGATTCATATTCCAATTCTATTGTGTTATTGTATCAAACCCTATAGCAATGTAGATGTAAGCCATATATAGATCTAGAATCTAGATCTAGATCTAGATTCTATATGCTCCTTGTTTGTTTTGGAGTGTGGTTTTTTAATTAATTTTTTTTTTCCATTTAGGACTTGTTTTGGCCTTTTTACATGAGGCCCGTTGCAGGTTCTTTTTGGGGGTAGGGTTAGGGTTAGGTCTCTTCTTTATTGTGTTTGTTGGGGTGGTCGCTCGTTGCTCGGATGTCTGGGGGGGGGGGGGGGGGGTTTGCGCAAAATTTTCAGACAATCTGGTTGAGGCTCACATGCGGGTCTAAAGGCCTAACCCAGAGAAGGCCACCTTCTCGGCCTAGAGCCTACGTCTCAGTTTGTGTTGTACATGATACATTCCGGCCTGAATTTCCGGTTATAGCTTTTAGAGTAAGCTCAGTAGGCTTGAGCTGGGCCGATACCATGATTTACGTTGGCCTATCGGCTCTGTACTCGCACCATTTCGTACTAAAAATTCTGATAAAATTAAAGTGTTGATGTATTTTTGCCTAAAATTGCAAGAAATTGCGGAAATTGCAAAAAATTGCGGGTTTATTGCGGAACTCGACGAAAAACGCGGCCGCAAGACCGCGATTTCCTGGAGGGCCAGACATGTACAGCATCAACAAAAAGATACTTTTCAAACACAGTTCGCACAGCAGAATTGTGTTCCTCGACGTCAGACAGTCGCGGATTTACAACAGAAGAACCCCAATTGAACCACCAGCCCCACTGTTTCGCCAACTTCATGCTCATCCCAAGGGCGGTGGTATAACCAGGTTTGAATCTACTTGGGGCGGGTCAGAGAATGAGTTAATGACCACTCTCAAAGTGAACAAAAAAGTTTAAGAACATTTGAATTTTAAAAATATTTTGATTGGTAATAAAAAAAAGCCCCCCAGAAAGCACTGGTACCTTTGACTGTTTCATAAAATTCTTACAAGAACACTATTGATTCTCATCACCAATTCATCAGGGTACACCGCCCCTTTTATGTAAACACAGAGTGTATATTTACCAACTTTAAAAACTCCAAAAAGCCACGAGGTGACACAAGTATAAAAACACAAGCAGAAGAGGGGACAAATTGGCTAAGCACTAGTCTTCAGAAAAATAAAACACGTGTAACCAGAAGTTAAGTCTACCTTTCCTGATGCTTGATGCTCATCAAAGCCCTGGATAAGTTCAGTGGCCCACTCCACTCGGGCTGGGCTGGGTGTGAAAGCTGCCTCCACAACAGCCACCTGACCTGGATGGATTACCTGCTTCCCTGTGTATCCCTTTCTGGCACCTTCCTCTGACTGCACTCGGAGACCTTCTTTGTCTGCCAAAAACATTAGTTAAAAGTGACTTCAGTTCCGTCTTAAAATTAATTTCAAGAAGGCAAAGGTCAGAATATAAAACCATGGCAAACAGTGAAGTAATCAAGCTGGAACTTCTCGTACTTGCTATCTTTATCATGACTCACAATAAAATAAAGAAAGGTTGGTGCAGCACGAGTGCAGAAACTCATGATTTCTTAGCCAAATCTGGAAGAACATTATCTTAATACACATGTCATTTGTTATACACAGGAAGTGCACCTGTTCCAAATAAGCTATTAAAGTAGTATTATGAAGCGCATTTCGACAATATTGTACATATTTGCACTATTTTTCAAAAGTGGCAAACAGCTATCCTCCTCCCAAATTTGTAGAGAAAGAGGTCTGTTTATAACTTAAATAGTGTTAGTTTCAAAGCCTAGAATCCAAAACTATGGCAACATGAGCCAACAATATTAAAAGATCAGTTAACTCTTTTCCTACCAGGTCAAAATCCACCACTGGCCCAGAGCTTTTCCCTGACCTATTTTTAAACCCCTACCCCACCAAAGGAAAATATCAAGACATCCGACTTAACACACACAAACCATATCATATAGCCCATCAAACTGACGGTTAAAAAATAATCTATCAGATGGTATACAATATTGAAGATTTATTCCAATTATATTTGTTTAGGGTTTCTAAAAGTGATTATGCATCATCGAAGCTTTCATATGAAATCAACAATTTTCCAGCTTTGAAAGGTCATACCTAAAAAAGTACAACAACAGCATCATTCAAACTTCCCAGGCAGGTTGCCTCAAGTAATGCAAAGAAATTAAATGCTGAAAGTTATGTATGTCTACCTCTTATAGAAGTGAAAATATATGAGACATATACTGAAGTCAGGGGAGCGCTTTTCTTCTAATTTTTACGTTTCAAAGGGGATAAAAAAAGGGCTGAAATAAATAAAAAGCGTCTCTCAGTGCCATATTTTCTTTCGCATCATTATTTTTAAAACGTGGACCGGACGAGAATTTCCTGCCTTTTCACTACTGGATAGGAATAGATAGCGAGCCACCCGAGCCATATTTTGCGGCTCTCGGTCCAGCGAGGCCACAAGTGCGAACCGCCTCACGGTAAGAAAAGTGTAAAGAGGGGGTACTACAGAAAAGATTTATCTCGGCCATTTATGTATTTTAAGTATGTCTATTAAAAAATACACAGAAAGGACTCTCAAGCTTTGGAAGTCATCAAACTTGGGCCGCCATTTTCTTGCTAATTTTACTCCTGAAGTGAAACCCGCTGACATTCACCTCCTATCTGAAATGTCCCTACTTCTATTGAAGCTAGATTTGTAATTTTTTCATCGAATGCAAGACAAATGAACAACCTTTAAAATGACACCGATAACTTTACCTTACATGCTAAAAAATTGACAAGCATCTGATTCCACTGCTTCGTGACACAAATATGTTTTGTGGGTTAGCTAGTATTATAACAAGGGCAAAGAAAATTCCGTTGCTATGTAAATGGCCCATACTATTGCATAACAGTAAAAAAATTCTTTAGGGAAAATCAAACTTTTTAACTTCATAAATTAAATACTACTCCATCCCTCAAAAATTCCTGTACAAATCTTTGAGAACTAGTTGTTGTTATCATCTTGTGAAAGTGACACTGAAATAGAATAAAGAAAGGGGGTGCTTATTCTGGCTACACATAGTTAATAGGGTGCCAGAAACTAAATTTTTAAAGTAGCTGTATGCCAAATTGATCCGTTACATATGAAAAGCCAATGTCGCCTGAGAATTTTGGTACCAGTACCATTCTTTAACCTCTCAGTCAATTTTAAGAAAAGGGTAGCTATTTAAAATTTGATAAAATTTGTTAAGTCGCTAACTGGCTGCAACCCTATGTTTGACAGATAATAAAAGAGTATCAAGTGCACCAAACATCTCCACATTAACAGAGTACAATTACTATAACATAGATATGGAGCCTAATTTTTCTCAAGACTGTGAGATCATTACAAATCAGTATTTTATTGCCTCAAACACAATGATCTGTCATTATTTCGATTAAAAAAAACCCACAGAGCGCTGTCCCCGCTGGCGCCGCACCAGCCCCAGCGGCAAGCCACCGGCTCTTTCCCGGAGTGTACCGAGTGCTCCCCGCGTGGGGGGGGTCGCAAGCTTTCAGAGTTCCGCGGAAGGATTGATGCAAAATAATTCCAGGCCGATTACTCTATTCTAATAGAAAATCAACTGATCTTTCTATTGGTACCTTTTTTGAGCCGATACCGAACACATAAGAAAATCTGCAAGGGTTCAGTGTGAAGATTGCGGTGCAAAACCTTCTTATCAGAGATAAAAATGTGCAAATATTTTCTAAAACTGGCTCTATTCTGTACTCGCCCCATTTTGTATTAAAAATTCTGTTAAAATTAAAGCGTTGATGTATTTTTGCCTAAAATTGCAAGAAATTGCGAAAATTGCAAAAACTTGCGGGTTTATTGCGGAACTCGACGAAAAACACGGCCGCAAGTGCGTCCGCAAGACCGCGATTTCCCGGAGGGCCAGAATAACCTGAATTTGCATAATTTGACCCCTAAACTTAATTTTTGTTGAGCTGCGTCACCACGCTTTAAGTTTTATTAGCACTATTCTTGTAAGTTGTAGGGATGGATGACCATAATGATGATAATTTTACAATATCCTGTATCAATGAGATATTTTTCAATGCTGATGGAAACTCACCGTGAATATCCACATATACCATATCAATGGCTTGAATCCTAAATGCTTTAGCCACCATAACAATCTTTTGACGTGCATATGTTAATTCCTTAGCATCCAAAGTCCTCTCCGCTCCTTGCAAATGGGGGAAAAAAAAGAATGCACAAGACATATTGAGTTGAGTGAAACATCCTTTCTCAATGCTGACAGTCGACATGCGCTTGACTTTCTCAATTATTGTCACTGAACTAAAAAGGAAATTTCACATTCACAACCACAAAAAAATGAAAGTCATACACCATACACTGATCTCAACAAAAGTAAAAAAATTGAATGGTGATTACAAAAACTTCAAAAGGACAAGAAAAGAGATGTCTAAGACATGAATCGTTTTACTTACTAGTATGTTGTGGTGATTTGTTCTGACACCATGCTACACAATCATCTTCCTCTTTATGTTTAATTAGGACCACTTCATCATTTATACTTATCATCATCATCATGGAAAGACTCATAGAGAAATACCTCAAAAGCATTTTGACACAACAACTGTCATTACTGTCAAGCAGATTTTTGTAACAAATTTTTACAAAACAACATTTCGCAGACACAGAACAACTCCCTCCTCCAACCAAAAAAGAAAAGAAAATCAAACTCCAAGCACTACGACACCTTGACACACTATGTGGCCACAACAACTGCATCAAAGGTTTTTTCTACAATATGGGCCCAAGCAGAATAGATTGTGGAAGTAAAACTAAAAACTAACTAACAACACATGGGAAAAGCCTGAACAGCTCGGAATAGCATGAGAAAAAGCCAAATTTGCTATGCACATGTTCTTTAAAGCTGAACACTTGCATCTGGCTAGTTCTCACAGTGAGTAACTATTCCCCTTATTTAGTGAAAAGACACTTTAATGGTTTGTCCATCTAAACTAACCATGACAACCAGATACTGATATTCATCACAAAGACAAACTCAAAGCCTTCGTAAGATGCACAGTCTTAAGAAGCAAATCTACAAGGAAACGACTAACCAATGTCAGCGCAGAAGTCATCTGAGCCAAAGACGACACCATCAATCTTGTACACGCCATCTTTGGAGTATTCCGTCGCATGATGCAGAACATCCTTCATATTCATCAGTCCCTGGGCACTTTCCACATAAGTAATGAGGTACGGGCAATAGTCCCGCCCTAATTTCACAGCCTGCAATCGATCTGTGAACTTAAATGCAATAAAAAGTATATTATTAGACAACACGATAACCTATAAGACTCTAGCATAAAAAAAGAAATATGTGTTGCCGCGTGGTGGAATCATTTGTCTTTTATTTGGGGAAAAAATTACTCATTTGTCTTGAATAGAAGTTGAGATATTTGCAATTGAAGGAGGTGGGTGTCGCCTGGTGAGAGAAGTAAAATTAGCGAAAAAATGGCAGCCAAAGTTTGGTGATTTACAAAGCTTGAGTGTCCTTGTAAACTTGAAATTTATATTTTTGTGCAGTATATTCAATGTCTTTCAGTAAAATCTACACAGAATTGCGTTTTTAAAAGTAAATAAAAGTTGTTGAGCCATCAAAAGACAATTCGAAAAAAATTCCATACGCCCAGAACAATGGCCGTTTCTTTGACTTCATTGTTTTGCGCCCGATTTCACCACGCCACCTCACACATATTGAAATCAGAATTGAGTGGAAAAGACAAATTCCATCCCATGAGGTGTTGGGAACAATGTCATGTGAAAATGAGGGGCTGAGATGTAAAACCTGCTACATCCATTTTAGCATTTTTGAGAATATCAGCCTTTTTTATGCTTCTATATGCACAAACTGATTGCAGAAAGTACAACAGTAAGTGGTAGGGAGCTGATCTGCCAACACAGGGAAAAAAAATGTATGATGATTAAAATAAAGATATTGAGCTGTGAAATTGGTAGTGATTTCCCAAATCAGCTATATCCCCACCAAAAGTCCCTTAATACCTTAAGCTACTCTTTTGCTCTAATTATAGCCACAGTAATCCTCTCTACAACACTTAGCCTTCATAGGACAGAGGATTTTTTTGTCTGCTTTTTTTTTTGGCTTCTTATCTCAACCAGATTCCTGAACTATTGCTTCTAATTCAGAGAAGATTACAACAATGGAGCTTTAGGTGAGAATAAAAAAATATTCTCAGCCAATGCCTCAACTGACTCAAAACTTACTTAATAACAGAGTCATGTAAAATTAAGAAAAAATATAAAAAATTCTTCAAATTTCAAAGAAAATCTCAAAACATCCACGTCTTTACAATACAAACTCAAAGTAGCATGTATCAAATTATAAACACCCAGAAGAGAACTTATCTATTTGTAGTGAGATCATGAAGAGATTTTTTTTCGGCTTACAAAACTCTTTAACAATAGAGATTCAACCCCCCCATTTTTTCATCAAAAACTCATTGCATGTGGTGCAATCTCGACTTACAATAATAAGATCTTCTACAGAGTCCACTTTCGGTAACAAGATGGTGTGTGGAAGCTGTTCAACTCCTAAAGTAGATCCAAGACCCTGCCCAATGATGGCTGTCAAATCATCCTCCATCATGCCACTAGACACTGAGTTCACTCTCAGTGCTACATCGATGTTGTCTATTTGAAGACTACTCAGAGCTTCTTTAATATTTTTCCTTGCATCCTCCTGCAACAGAACATTTGTTAAATATTTGTATTAAAGTTAAAGTCAGATTGATACTCTTTGCCAGAATATATATAGACATGAACGAATAGTGCAAATATTTCTGAGGTTACAGATCGCAAACCAGAATGGAAAGAAAAGGGTAGAAGAGACAAATTACATCAGTTTCAATAGTTTCATTTACAAAATCAGTGGTTAAATCAACAGGCCTAATTAATGAAAATCTATTGTTTTTTCAAAAGAAATAAATACAAAATATCTGTTCAGTGCTATTCTTTTCAAGTCCTGGTTCATTGAAAATAAAGTCACAAATGCATTTCCAATAAAAAAAAAATTAAAATGTTCAATTCAACAAAGATGAAAAACTTAAAATGCTACAAAAATGAAAGAAAAATCAAAATGGTACTGTCACTTTTTTTTTCTTACGGCATCTTAATCTTATGTTATACTTTCTGTCTGAGAACAAATAACCAATCACAACAAGGTCACCAAATATCTACAATCTTTACCTTTTTATTTAGGGCGACACCATCTTCACACTCTAATACAGCACAATCCACACCTAAATTGGGAATTTTCCCCAACTTCCTAGGGTCGTGGCCAGGCACATACATCAGCGTGCGGCGCGGAACAAAAGGTCCGTCCTGAGCATGGTCAGTCTTTGTGAAGAATCCATGATTATTTACAGCGAAAAGAGATGCCCAACAAGGTTTCGGTGATGTAACGTGTCTACATAGGCTGCATGGTGATTTTCCAAAATGCTGGACAGATTGCAGTAGGTGGGAAAAGTATCTCACACTCATGCCCTTCATGGTTGACCACAAAATCAACCTGAGAAAAAAAAAAAGCGGTATGTGCGCAAATGATCCAAATTATCAAATCAACTCTAATGTTGCACAAAACAAATTTTATGCTGAAATGAATAAAAACAAATTTTAAGCTGAAATGAACCTACCGCTGCGTGCGAAATCCTTGCAAATGTTGAACCCCTGGGAATCCGCAGAGATAAAGCAGTTTTGGAGCTACACGAAAGAACAAAAAGAATGTGCCCCAACCACCCAAACAGGAAATTAGTAGAAACATGGAAACCAAAGAAACGAATTCAACAAAAGTCAATCATGCATCACATCACAGAACTAATGGAGAGTCACCATCAACCACAAAACAGAAAAGAAACCCAAAGAGTCAACCAAAACATCCCTCCCCACCTTTCTTTAAAAAAGCCAATCATTTCAACATCTCTCAAAGACAAGAGCACAAAATCGTCAGACCCAGTGACGCTGATGCTTGCATCACATCAAACAATCGACAGCTATTCAGATGACTGGATACACGTCTATACAGACGGCTCAGCATTCAAAGGCACAACCAAAGCCGGATATGGAATACTAATACAGTACCCAGATGAAAGTTCCAATGAGATCTCTGCAGCCTGTGGAGAGAAATGCAGCAACTACGATGCAGAAATGATAGCAATTGAAACAGCACTGTACCATCTCCGTACAGTTTTTGACACTCATCCTGGAAAAACACAGAGCATTGTGATTTTCACTGACTCACTATCAGTATTACAAGCCATAGAAAATGACCATCATCTAAACCAACATTTGACCCATATACTGTTTGGATCCCATCATCTGACAACATTCTGTGGCATCAACCTAGTAATGCGGTGGGACCCCGGACACTCAGACATACCTGGAAATGACAGAGCAGACACACTTGCCTAACGGGGACCTAGACAGGAACAACCCAACATTCCAACTTCATACAACACTGCAAAACAAATCATCAAAAGCAACAACAAACAAGATTGGATGAACAGATGGGCCCAGGGAAAGACAGGCAGAGCAGTTTTCAAACATAATATGACCACAACAAAAAGGAATGACAATATCAACCGCCTTCAGTAAAAGAAACAGACCATGATCTTCCGCCTGCGAACAGAACATATACAGCTCAACTTCCACCTGAACAGAATAAACCCGGAACTTCCCCCAATGTGTCCCTTGTGTGACTATGCATATATATGAGACTGTAGATCATCACCTGTTCCACTGCACAGCCCTAAATGACATCAGAGCTACCCTTCTCCCTCCGAGACCTAACATTGACAACACACTCTATGGAACTTTACAGCAACTGCAGCAAACCTGCACTTATCACTACATGGCATTGGACAGAAGGGCGAGAGCCCAGCTGTTGCTGGATCGATAACAACAACAACAAGCTGAAATGAATGTCAAATTTTAAAGTATCATTACAATACAGATAAACCTTGCGCTTGAAACACAAGAGAACATATAAGCCAATTAATTCACCTGATCCAATGTTCTATTTCTCCAAGTCAGAGGTTTTATTGTATGAAATGTCTGACAAATGAGAGCACAGTAGATTGATAAGTTTATTGGCAGGTCAGTCGAAGTATAATAATAATAATAATAATGAAGATCATTTCTATAGCGCCCACTCTCGTGTAAACACAGCTCTAGGCGCTTTACATAAACTAGCAAAGTTTCATATTTTTTCATTGGGTAGTTTCTGAGAATATACTGTTCGCAAAATTTGGCCTTAGCTCCATTAGTAGTAAGATGCATGTATGAACAATATTCAAGCACGCGACACACACACACACACACACACACACTCATACACACACACACACTCACGCACACATAACACACACACATGTGCACACACATGTACGCCAAACACACACACACACACACACACATCTACTTGTTTATCACACGCGCACGCTTACACATCGTCACGAAATGAGCACATATATATATATAATAAAATAATATCCACAATGCAGTTCACAAAATACATAAATGGATACATAGTCATTTACATAACATTGTACTGAACATGAATCTACTGACATAAAACTGATGTCATTAAATGTGTCTTTAAAGATTTTTAAAATTTAGACTCAGATGTTGTATGTCTCAAGGGTTGAGGAAGAGAGTTCCAAACTGATGGAGCAAGGTGGGCAAACGATCTTTCAGCTAATTTTTTACCCCCTTTTCTAGGAACTCTCAAAAGATACTGATTGCCTGATCTTAGTGATCTAGATAGAACATAAATCTGGATGAGATCACTAAGATATGAGGGAGCTTTGTTATTGACACATTTAAGACATAATATTGCACTTTTATATGACATTCTAGCTGACACATCAGTTTCATGAGGACAAGTCTTGAGTAAAGGTACTACTAATGCTGAGAACCAGACCAGTTGTACATGAAAGGCAAGTATTCAATAAAAGCCATACTATAAAACACGGGTAACTCGAATTTGTCAGTGATTGGAAATAGTGTTTGAGACTTCAGTAATTCGTCATGTCCGTGAAAGCCTCAAATACAGAGAAAGAGAGAGAAAATCAAGGGAGGTAAAAAAGAACATTAAAACAATTAATGTGGTTAGCTCCCTTTATGAACGTGTTGACGGTGTGAAAGTAAGAAGATGACTGAAAGTGGAAAGTAGAAAATCTCACGTGTGCACACCGACTCCTACATCATTCCTTTCCTCTCATTTCACTGGTTTACAGAAAGTTACGCCTCTTGCCATCCCACAGCATGAGCGCGCGTGGCGAGCCAGTCATGCGGTGTGGTGAGTATCACTTCCCAACCCCCCTTCCCCGCCCACTCCGTCCTTCAGCCTCTCATGGTGAGACAAGGATCACGTTTCGGCTGTAACAATAACAAAGAAACACCCACATGCAGCCAGAAAGGCTGTAAAGCCGGGTCTTTAGTTGAGAATGCCAAATGGATTTTGAGATTCAAGAGTTGCGGGTTCCTTCTGAGTGTTCGGCAACTCTGAGAAGTCAATACAGAGAAAACATAGGGACTGAAACAGCACCGAGCATTATGTTCGAGATACCCAAGAATTCGTGATTTTTGTGTTTGAAATTCACGGACTCTACTTTATGTATGTTATCCCAGTCGACTAAAAATTTGTTTACAAGACCACTAATTTCTACCCTCTCATCAACATGTTCCCCCTAGCTAGATTCATGGCTACATGCAGTTTATCAGTACAAGGATATTTGATGAACAAAATCGGACGTTAAGAAGGAGAGTAAAAAAATGTAAAAAAGACGCAAGATCTTTAGTCTGCTGGCAGGAAAATAAGTGCAAGCTCTTAATATCATTCTGTGGAAAACACAACATATAGTATCAACCTGCCCGTTGAACACTGTAAAGAAAAGACTAAACAGCTAGACATATGTGAGGCAGTGTAGTGAAATAAAGTACTCGTCAAAATATCAAAATTGGAGAAATAGGCATTTTTCTGCCAGTTTGGACATTTTTATCGAATTTTTATTTTTTGGCTTCACCTCTTTTATGTCCATATAAAAACACATTTCCATGTATGTGAATTTTACTGAAAAACATTGATTAAAGTTAAAGGCATAAAATATTCCATTTTTCAGTTTTCAAAGATTCTTTAGCTATTGGAGTTACCAAATTTTGGCGGCCAATTTCTCACTAATTTCACCGCTAAAACCAGGCGACCTCAATTCTTCCAATCGAAATTATCTTGAGTTCTATCCCAGACAAATGAATATTTATTTCATTGGAAGCAAGGCAAATAAATCAGATTTCAGGTGATACCAATAAATCCATATGCCCAAAAATTGACGAGCACCTGATTCCATCGCGTCCTGACACATATAATATGGCAAAACAGACCTGTCAGTATCACTGGTCGCTGCCTGTAACCATCCACAAACAGTACGCATAACAATCTAAACCCTCCCTCCCTCCCCGAGAACTGTACACAAATGAAAACAATTGCTATCTGACAATCCAGCTTTGGCATGACAAGTATAAGGAACATTCTATGGAGTCCTGATTATTTAGAGTGTAGCCAGCGATATAACTTGTCATGATTCAAGTGTTGGCCAATTGTCTGATGATTTAACTAGATTAAAGCTGCTGGGGAAAAAATTCTTTTAAAATGCATCTGCTAGCTAGGGCTGCAGGGCAAGCTATCCCACTTGGTTTGTAGTTGCTCATTAACGGCAGGTTGATTTTCATGAAGGAAAAGAAACAGGGATCCTTCTCCTATGAATTTGTTTAGTCTGAGTTTTTGAAAGCAAAGTTAATTGAATTTTCAGAAAATATAGAAAAGAGAAAAATATCCGCTTTATGCAGCAAATAAAAATAAACAACATTAAGTCATTACATTACCTAAAACTGCATGTCTTATTCACATTTTCTGGATCCACGTTGCAATTAGGTACTGGTTAGGATTACGAAATTAAGAGTTTGGTACTCTAACCCTATTCAAAGCAAAATCCTGGACCTTCTCTCGCCAGTTAACAAGATCTCATCGTTGCGGGCCCGCTTTGCCGCTTAGCGCGTGAAGCGCTACGTCACTCGGTTTCATTACCAACTGTTTGGGCTGTGTGTGAGCGCGCGTGTGTGTGCGTGTGTAAGTGCGCGCGTGCGTGTGCGTGTGCATGTGTTTGAGTGCGCACGCTCTTGTGTGTGTGTGTGTGTGTGCAACTTCGAGGAGACAGTAAATTTATGGAACGAGCATTGCTGAGAAAAGAATATAACACAAATTAATTTTTCAAAAACCCTAAACAAACACGCCACAATTCAGTCAACCAGTTACTCGCGAGGAAAACCCAAGAGTCTTGGGGGAAACCCAGGAAGACGACAAAAATAGATGGCGGAAATTTGGGCCAATCACAGAGGTGTACTAGGTGCTCGCTGTAGCTTCATGTCATTATTTTTCACACAAGTATTCCTGAGCTGCTTCCTCATTCACTTTGAAATTTGAGCAACTGTAGCGTTTCAGACGTGCTTCTGTGCCAAAGGTGGATGATTCAGGGGGCCATGAATGTAGTCACTGCGTCCTTTTTTTATATCAAGAAGCTAGAATCTAGATCTAGAGTTCTACATGCATCTAGATTCTTTAAGGCTAGCCGTACTTAAGGCTGAATTGTAAATGAAATTTTTAGTTTGCAAAGCCTAAAGTATTCGTATTTCAGACAAAACCAAAAGGTGCCTTTCTGACTTGCATTATTTAAACCTGAATAATATAAGAAAGTGGCTATTCTCACCCGCCCGAAAGTTCTCGCAAGATCAACTCCTCCCCTCTTCTCTCTCTCTCCGTCTCTTTCTGAATACTGTCTATCGGTGTGGACGATCAAATTGACCAAAACAAAGTTAAAAAATGATGTTAAAACACAAAAGTAAATTAATTTGGTTGTCTATAAAGATGCTACGGCTATTTAACTTTTCGAATCGAGCCGAACTACGCGGGTCGCCATTTTGTTTTGCCCGGAAATTCTCGCGCTACTCCTCTCTCTCTTTCTCTCTCTCTCTCCACTGCCCACAGACAAAATTGTACGCTTTTAGTAGGCTACAGTTGTAATGGAACGTTTGTTCACGGCACAGAATTCTACAATTTTTCTGTTATCACAGTGTAGAATTCTGTGGTTTAGGGTGAACGCAAAATTTGGTGAACGCGCACCGGGTGAGAATAGCCACAAGACTCGCCTGCACTATTCTCACTCCGGGTGAGAATAGAGGTGGCCATAATATAATTAGTTAGATCTAGATTCTAGATCTAGATCTAATGAGACCTGTGTACTCAACAGGTTCGAGTCGATAGGGCCAAACCTAGATCTAAGTACGGCTAGACTGGCAGTCTAGCCATAGCTAGACTGGCAGTCTAGCCATACTGGCAGTCTAGCCGTACTTTTAAAGTACGGCTAGACTCTCAGGCTAGCCGTGTACGGCTAGCCACTTCGATTAATGATTAATGAGCAAGAATTTTTTGACGGGGACGGAAGGACTTCCGTAACGAGCAACCACCCAACAAATGCAATAAAGAAGAGACCAAACCCTCTCCCTACCCCAAACCTAAACCTCTACCCTACCCCACACCCTTTCCCTATCCCCTACACCTCTGTTCTGCTCTGTCTCATCATTCATCATAATAGTCATAGTCATAGTCATAGTTGGTTGCTCGTTACGGCACGGAACGGGGACAGACGAAATTGAACAAGCTGGGCTTGTAAAGTATAGATATCTAGATAGATCTAGTTAAAAACCTTAGATCCTTATCTAGAATAGTTACCGAGGACGAACTTACTGTCTCCTTCGTTCTTTGTCAATAGATCTAGAGATCTAGAGTCAAGGCCTAGATTCTAGATCGGATCTAGTTGATTGTTGATGTTGACCGACCTGGCCTTCATTCAGAGTACATGGCCCTTGTGGGTTCTTTAAAATCTAAATTCTAGATTTCATTTTTATAGGAACAATACTTTGCTGCTGTCTATTCTTTCATTCTATCACATAAGTTTCAAAATATTAGATGGTTCTCAAAAGCTTAGCAGAAGAAAAGTTATCATACTTTTTCAACGGTTCAGTTTTGGGAATTTTCTTTCATTATAAACCGTTGTAGGTGAAAAGCAAAGTTAAGATTGACAAACTCTCTGTGGTGTGTTTACAAGTTGCTAATTGTTTTGCTTTAACAGGGAGAATAATGGAGACATTGTCTGTTATGACTTGATACATAAAACAAGCATTATTAGAGAAATAAGTTCCTAAAAATCTTTTCAGATAAATTAAAATACTAAAGTACTGCAAAAAGGGCTATATATTTTCAAGAGTATGAGTACTCTTTTAATCAGAATTAACAAAATTTTAAAACAATGATTCCTCACGGTCAATATGGCGTCCATAGCGACAAGTGTCAAGCGTAATAAACACGGGTTGACACGGGCTGCTTTCGGTGCCTGGCCCTCCCTCGATTCTCTGAGTCTTCAAGCAAAACATACAGGTACAGGAGATTTTCAGTTTTAATTTTATGCATTGAAACAGATCTATACAGCTAAAATAGGAGGAACAAACAGAGCTTACTCGTAAAAGTATTAATCTGAGTTGTTTTAGTTTTAGATTCAGTAGTGTGTTCCCGTTGCCGTTGAGTTCCTCTCATAGTCTGTAGTCTATTGAGTCTTTCCAACCTGCCAACGGCGTGAAAGTTGTCAAGCTGCCATAGCCCGTGCCAATCTGAAGCTTGGACATATGTGCGTTTGATCTGATGCATTGCCATGATTCATTTTATATAGATCCCACAATTTAACATCTTTTTTCGTAAAAATAAAGAGGGGGGGGGGGGGGGGGGGTGCTATTGATGACTCATGAGTCATGTACAATTATTAGAGTTAACTTAGTGATGTTTAGCAAATTTAAATTTCAAGTAATGTAGAAGATATGATTATAGATTTCTAGCATTTGACAGCAGAGGGCATATAATAAGCCTAACGAATTGTCCTGACAGCCCTGTGTATATAGGCCTATATATATATTATGGTTTAATGAAACTTAATATCAAGGGTGACAACATATTATCCTTTGTTTTGATTCGGTCAAGCCGCAGCTTTGTTTTTCATTACCTAGCTTTCCCATTGACCAAAAAGAACCTGGGGAGTTGAAAATAATGTTCAGGGTGCTTTAATTGTAGGCTAGAAGACTGCTGATATATACAGTCAAACCCGTGTAAGACGGCCACCCATTGTCAAGGAGAAAAGTGGCCGTATAAGACAGGTGGCCGTCTTAGGCAGGACTGATCAAGATAAAGAAATCAAACCATTCCCATCTGAGGTCTCAATCGAAAGTAGCCCCATTATATTGTCTTTGTTGGTGTTGTTGTTGTTGGTTTGTATTTCGTTTGTAATTTTTATTTTGTCGCTGATTTTGCACAAGGGTGACAATAAAACGAAATGTATCAGACAAGGAAGACCGAGTGCCATGTTAAAACAAACACATGGGTCGCCACTACTCGGAGAACGAGCGACGCTTCTGTAACAAGTTCATGTTGACGTCCTTTGTTACTTTGTTACAGACTGGGTAATCAGTGACCACTCATCTCACTTACGATTTGTGTATGAGTTCTGGGCGGGGCTTATGGGTTATAAAGGGATCACACGCTTACCTCACCAGCAGCTGAAAATTGGTAGCAATTAGTCAACAGTGGGAGGGGCCTACGCAACATGATCGGTTGGAGGGACTACCTAACAACAACGACAGGTGATTGAGTTATGACGGCTCGCCCACAACGCCAGGGGCCAATGCACAATTTATGACAAAACGTAATGGAGTTACTAAGGTGACCGTCTAAGACAGGTATTATTGCTTAGTATGATAGGGGTTGTGTGTTAAATTATGGTGGCCACGGCCGTGTTGGACAGGTACCCGTTTTACACAGTTAAATTATATAGAAAAAACGTAAGGGGGGAAATGGAAAGTGGCCGTTTGTACAGGTGGCCGTCAGGGCAGGTTCGACTGTATATATATAATAGATTCTAGATCTAGTTCATTGAAATTCTTTTTGAAATGTATAGGCCCTATGTATACCTTTTTGCTATTTGTTATTGTACTAATTATTGCTACATTGTGAGAATTGCTTTGAAAAATTATAATAGTTGGGAAATTTTCAATAAAAATGTAGCCTACCTTCTTTCACTCTTCATAAGGGTTTTAATTATTCAATGTTACGCACGCATCTGCTTTGTTTACTATATTACACTATTATTCCTTGTTAAAAAGTGTTCTAAAGTTAATCAGCTGTTTTGCAGTGGTAGCTAGCTTATATCTCATTTCCAATTATCGTGAAAATTATGAGAAACCATCAATTAACCTGCCCTAGGGTTTGTTTTTAAGTGTGCTCGTAGCAATCACAAATAATATAAAAATGATTTGATAAAATTAATGGGGATGGAGTATTTAATCTTGGCGAGCTCGCAAGACACTCTAAATTTTGTCTATGCAATACACGTTTATGTGTTCAGCATTCCCATTCAAGCCTGGTATCTCCTTTTTATTTTCTATCATAGGTCGGCTGTTCATGTGTTAACTCATTCGCTACGGCGAGCCGTGGGGGGCGGCGCGGCGAAAGTGCCATCAGTACGCTAAGCCGCCCCTGGCGACTCGAGAACCAATCTTCAATTTTAGCTTAGATTCTATTCCAATCCACATATCCTTGTTAAAATAAAGGTCATAATATAATGTTGACTTCCGGGTCAAACGTTTCCTCCGAGCCTCCGAAAATCGGAAGTTTTGGTTCAGTTTTTAAACACGATTTCGAAGTTTATGCGACTTTGTTTTATCGCAATGTTCAAATTATAGCCCAGATACCAGTCTTACTACTTTAACACAACAAAATATATCATTATTTTGCACACTAAAGAAATGTAGGACTCTTGTTTAGAATATTGATACAATTGGGCTCAAATTGCCATTGCTCTGTTATTGAGAAATCAATATTTTTCAGTCCAAGATCTAGATCTAGATCTAAATTGTCAAATTATTTTTTTCTCCCAAAAATCACTATTTTTTGTGAAATTACACAAAAAGTACCACTCAAGACATGTGTAGGTTTACTCCAAATACAATTCTGAATAATTCCATATACGATACGAGTGTTTTTTTCTGTTTGTGAATGCATCTTGTCAATTTTTCAAGATTATAAAATTTATTTTTTTTCAATATCGGATGTCATGATCCAAATGTGCAAATTTTATGGAATGCATGTAACTAACTGCAAATTTTTCAATATTTTCCAGTCCTATATTCATTTATGGTTATTTTAATGTATCGTTTGACTAGGTGCAAAAATATTTTTTGAGTTTCACAGGAGATGATTATTATAATTTTTTATTTTTCAAATTTTATCCGCATCCAAGAAAAATTGTGTTGCATAATCGCCTCTTACAGGAACCAAAGTTGAAAAATACACGAATAAACCTTACAGATGTATTCTGCAAATTATACTGAAAATTTCGGTGCATAATATGTTAATATTTATTTGAAATTGTGGCCCCAAAGACCTTTGAACTGCGCACTAGTTATCATCTCATTTCGCCTTCCCGAAAAAAATTCGTCCACAAGCCAAAAATAATACGTAGCAAATGAGTTAAATGCCAAATAGTTTTCTTTACCATGAATATGGCGTTGATCATATTCCTCATCTATTTTTTTATCTGCTGTATATACTTTTTATGCTGATTTTATCTCTGTTCACTGTTATCTTTCTTAGGGGAATTGCAATATGTCAGTTATAGCTAAGGTGTTAATGCTAGAGACAAAAGTAACTTGAAAAAGAGGGAGATTTTTATGATAAGAGAGGAAGAAGTGAAGATAAGAAATCATATTTTGCTTTTAATTTTATTCAGCTTGGGGGGGACTGATCATATTACATTTTTTATGAAGTAGGTATTATTTGTTGCTATGATATTCCCTTCTCTTTGATATTTCAGCTCCTTTTAAGAAACTTGCAAAGAATTTGAAGTAAGAAATCCCAACTAGTGCAAGCTGTTAAACTGCATAGTTAACAAAATGTAACTTTCTCAGTTGATCCAACTGACCATAATTTTTTTGTTTATTTTGTTGACATTACTTATGCTGACTGTTTTATCTTGCTTTTGTCCTTTAGAAGGCCTCTTGCTATTGATGACAGTATTTTAATTTCATCTTTCCAGACTACAGAATTATGTCAGACGAAGAGTCTCCAGTTCCCTCAGGGGAAAGTCCACAGGCTGAAGAGCAGTCACCTGCAGAGGAATTGCCCAAAGCAGATGAGGTGGCCCCAGAAGATGAGGTGACCCCTGAGCAAGAGCCAGCACATGATGTGGTCCTTGAAGCTTATCTTGAACCAACGGCTCCACCAGCAGAACAGGACGAAATTTTCAAATCTCCACCTACTGAGTTTCGTCATCTTGGGAATTTTCCATTACCGCAAGAGCCTTTGTCTTCAGTGGTGTTCAGTCCGTCTCCAGATTTCATTCCAAGACGAGCTCCCCCTGAGACCGTTGTAGAAACCCAGCTTCCCACAATATTTGGCCGTGTGCCTGAACGATGTGTCACGTTCTGCATTGACACTAGTGGAAGCATGTTCAATTGCCTGCATGTGGTAAAAGATCAGCTGATGGAAACACTCTCTTCTCTGGCGGCACGAGATGATCAACCCATGTTCAATCTCATTGAGTTTAATTCACAGGTCACACAGTGGGCGGATAAAATGGTGCAGTGTACGCCAGAGACTGTCGCTGTTGCAGAGAAGTGGATAAGTAATTTGGCTGCGAAGACAGGGACAAACACGCAAGATGCTCTTCTTACAGCCTTAGCTGACCCAGGGTGTCAAGCTGTGTACTTAGTATCTGATGGACTGCCAGACCAGTATGCTGATGATGTACTGGACCGTGTTGTAGGTGTGTGTGGCCGTCGTTGCATCCACTGCATCTACCTCACAGGGGAAACTGCAGATGAGGTAGCCACCGAGTTCATGGAGGACTTAGCTGTGGAAACATTTGGCTCTTTTCATATTGTCACTTTGACAACCCATGGTTGTGTGGAGAGGATAACACCAGTCTATCGTTCTGACCACTCTCATGAAAAGCTGGTCCACACTGTCAACAACACCCTGAGACCCAACATCAAGACTTGCAGTGTTTCGACAACTCTCCAAGTTGACCCAGATAAAATTCTTGGTGGTCCCTCTCGGGCTGCAGCCTTGGCCTACGCCCATAACCCTTTTGTGATTCCACCAGCACTTTACTCCACTCTGCCTCACCGCTATTACTACCCATACTATTGGTCAAGATATCGTCCAGCTAAAGCATGGCTAGCAGCCCAAGACAAGTTAGGAGATCCAGTGCTTGACTTGTCACCAGCAGCAGGCAGTCTTTTGGTCGGAAAGAAAGTTGTTGCGAGAAGGATTGAGGACGGTTACTTCTATCGAGCTACAGTCCAGAGTCAAGTGAGTTGACATTCTTTTTATCCATTCCTTTTTGCCCATATTTTGTAGACAATAAACAAACTTTGATGAGGATTTTGTACTATTTTTAGTTGTGAGATAAAAAGAATAAAATATTTTTATGTTCTTTATACAACCAGAGAAAAAATATGTAAAGTACTTTTATCACAATAAAACAGGTGAAGTTGTCAAAACTTTATTTAAGTTCAAACAGTGTGAAAGTTTGGTCAATTATTTATATCTATTCTCCAAAAGTAAGAAAAATTCATCTGTTATGTCATAGTCCTTTTACCAGTAGCAAATAGGTTTAACTTTTAGAAATTCATGTATGTTTGGCCAAAGCAAATGTTCTTTGCCAGTTTGAGAAAACTTTAAAAGATATGTAACCCGAATGCTTCTTTCCCATTGTTATTTAAAGAATATGAAAAGTGTTCTTTTTAAATGTTTCCCCTCAGAACTTTGGTGAGAAGTTTCTTCTTGCTTTTGGCCCTTGCAAACATGGAAAATATCGCCAGACGGAGTATCAGGACACATATGTGTTTGATATTGTTGACTACGTAGATGCTCTGCGACATACAATAATCTCGGGCGATCGGGTGCTGGCACCCTGGGAACCAGAAGGAGAAAGATTTGCTCCTGGTATTGTTCTAGAAGGGCAAGAGAAGCGTCATGCAGATGGTAAGCCTCTCTATATTTTACTTCTTGTATATCCATCTTTTCCTGCTCATGTAATATATATTATTCTGAAGGCTGAAGAAAACTTTACAAAAGTTAAATAATGATCTATGGTTTAAGGGTTTTTCTCTGAACTGCATAGACAAAGATGATGTATGCACATTCAAACTTACAATATTTTGAAAATGTCTTGAGCAGCCTGTGTGAAAAGAATATAGTCATGAATCTCACCACTGTCAGAGTTCAGGGGTTCTGTTAATATTTCAGCACCAGTGCTTAATTTTTCTTATGTGTAAATAACTTATATAGCTTGTTCACTTCCGTCTAATAGTGTTAAAAAAAATTCTAGCTCATTGAGGAATTTACCTATTCCTACGAAACTTGCATGGCACTTCTGCAGGCCAGTAATCAAACAAAAATTAAAAAAAAAATCTTGATCCAGTAATAAAAGAGTTTTTCTCTTTGGGCCCTTTATTTAAAACTGCTTTTTTGGATGCATACGCAGGATCACTAAATATAAATAAATGACTTACAGTAGCCTTACCTACTAATTGCTCATTTTGAGACAGTGACACCACCCTGCCCCCTTATTTCAGTGTAAGCTTGTCGATTTCATCCCCCAACTGTCTAGACGTTTCCACGTGCTTCACCTGAGTCTCGAAAAATACTCACCCTGTCTCTTGAATCATGTTTCTTAGGTGAACGTTAAAGAGTCGTGTGGAGGGAAATAATATGTCAACTATTAAATGTTTTAGGTGTGTGCTGTAAATCCCCTATTATTTTTTGGACCCGCTTTCGGTTTATATCAAAGAAAACGTGTCGAAACCTTAGTTTGCAGCGACTTTTATGAATGGGCTTTTAGATTCTGTTGATTGCTTAACTTTAAGACCCGCATGCAAAGACCCAGGAAGATTAAACAGAGCAGTTTGTTTTTATTCCATTTTAACAGCGGTCAGACGAAAGTGAATAAGCTACAACTGGAATATCATCTTGCCTTGTAGTTTAACCCTATTTCATTTTCTTAATCATAGCTTTCACTTTTTTCAGAATTGGTGTTCCATTTCTTTTCTTTCTTCATTACAGGTTTTCCCGCTCTATCATCAGTAAAAAGTTCTTCTTTGCATTCTGACCATCTGTTTAAACATCCCCTTTATCCATTAAGATATCAAATAATTTTGATCATGTGCAGCCTATATATTTGAACATCCTTTCTACCTACTTAACTTCGTTGATTAAGCAATATATATGTACCTGCTATTA